CAACAATAAACCTAGCACGGCTTAGTTTATCCACAGTTGGAAACCAACCGTCACACTCTTAAATAAGTAATAAGACCTACTTAGCATACTTAGATATTATTAGGAGCTCTATATAGCCAAGTCTGCGGTTAGATATCTTATAAGGCATTAATTATAGTTAATCTGCAGTAAGAATAAATAGGAGAGAGTCTCCTTTAATATACTAGGAGTTTCTTAAAGACTATAGGTATACCTTATACTTATGCCCTTATGCTATTAATCCAGGGAAACAAGCCCTTATTAATAAGCTATTTCTATTTATATTAGTATCTTTAGCAATCTAGGATACCGCCGCTAATATTCAAGCCCTATAAGGTTAATAATTACTATATAGCCTTAAAGTCATAGCCGGCATTAAGTATATGGCGAGATTTATATATATTTAAAGAAGTTAAAAAGGCACTACTTTCCTTAGTGCCTAGGAAGCTATAGACCTGCTTTTAATATTATAAGCAAGGTTATAATAGAAACTTAAGGCTATACCCTAAGAAGTATATTAAAATAGCAATAGAGCTTAATAATATAAAGAGAGAATAAGATCTTATTATAAAGGAGGTTATAGTTATAGATATATAGAGCAGGTCTATATCTCCTGCTGCTGCTGCAGCCTTAATACCATAGATAACCCTGACCCTGACCTACTACTACCTTTAAGAGCCTGTATATTAAGTATATATAAAGTATAAGGAATTTCACAAGGCATAGTTTAACCAGCAGCCCCCTGGTACCTCTCTTACTGATTATACCTTTAGAGAAGCTATTAGACTGCCTTTAGAGTATAATATAGTTAGGTATTAGTGGTGCTGGAGGTTAGAGCAGATAGGGCCCTTTATTAAGCTTTATAATAGCTTTAAACTAAGAGATTGGATATTAGAGGAGATATACAGCTGGCTTAATAATAATAACAGATCTAATGATAATGCCGATTAACTAGAAATGCAGCTTTTAGGAGCAGAAGGCCCTAGCTATATATCCCGGCAAGGACCTATAAGTCACATATTATCACAGCTGCAGCAGGGAGGCGATCTAATTCTCCCGGCGAGATAACTAAGCAGTTAGGCAGCCTGATGCTAAATAAGATACAGAGGGATAATAGTTAATTAGGAGCTATATATAAATAGAGCGAATTTCGGCGAATTTAATAATATAATTATTATTACTTAATAGTAGCTCTTTATAATTAAAGTGCCTCTTTTTATTTTATAGTATTTATAATAATTAAGAGTTAATAAAGTCAGAGTATATAAAATTATTAATCCTTATAAATTAATTATCCTAGTTAGAATACCTATACTTATAACCAGCTACTTATGCCTAAGAAGGATAGTATATATATTATTAAATTAAGAGAAAAAAGCTAAATTAATTAATATATATCTTAATACCTTAATCTGCTAGATTCTAATGTTATTGGTAAGTAAGAAGATGGTATAGGGTTAGATATAAAGAATTAAATTATATATATATAAGTAGATAGATTAAGTAAAGGAATTATATATTTCTCTTTAAGCAGATTATAACCTTAATAAAGTAGATAATATTAATATAGCAAGAGATTTAAACTAGTATATATGCTACTAAATATATATAAAAAAGTAACCCTAAATATTCTTAATTCCTCCTATTATCTGCCTATCTAAGTTTATATAATATGCCCCTGTAGATTAACCGAATTAATATATATACTATTCTGCTAGGCTACCTGCAAAGTCGGTATATATATAGTTATTCTAACCGCAGGCATAGGCTATATTATAACAGGGATTAGAGGCCCTGCTTAATATGCTATATCTTACTATTATAGCATTTAAGCTATCTAGAAAGGCATAGTATTAGGAACTAGTTAAGCTAACTATTAGTTAATTATATTATAAAGCTGGCCGGTATACTAGTTTCCCTTAATACTATATCCCTGGTTTTATATTACTATAGTTACTAGAGCCTTAGCAGGAATAAAGCTAGTATTATATGCCATATAAAGCTATGCTGGCATCAGGAGACCTATATTTATATTAGCTCCTAAGGGAGCATTCTAGGCTATCTAACTATTAGTATTAAATATATTATACACCGGCTATTACACTCCTAGATTCTCTTAGCCATAAAGAATAAGTCAGGGGATAGGCTAAAAGAAGCCTACTGCCTTATATATTACTTACCTAGTCCCTAAGTAACCAGGAAGGTTATTTGCAGTAATAGTAGGCTGCAGGATAAACTAGTTATTTTAGTTTAAAGGGACTAGGCAGGGGATAGTTTAAGTATTATCCTTAAAGATCTTAAAGTTATTATTTTTATTATTATTTAAAGCTATTATTAAAGAGATAGAGATATTATAAGCTAGGGGGTTTATTAGATTACTTAATATCTTAAAGGAAGATATTATATTAAGGAGAGAAGATAAGAAATTTATCTCTTAATTTATATATATATCTACTAATTAACTTATAGCTATATTAAATACTTATTATATAGATTAAGAGTAATAGAGGAATTATTTCTATAATATAACTAAAGGCATAATAATAGATATCCTATATATAGTATCTCCCTTTATTAATTTAAGTTGAGAAGAAGAAGGCATATACTATTAAGTTAATTATATTGCAGTTATAATAGAGAGGGCTTCTATATATTAGTATTAGTTATATCTGTGATATAATAAGGCTCTCTTTATATCCTTGATATTATAAGCAGATAACTATTCTTATATAATCCTATTAGTTAGAAGGTTATATTACTTCTATATTATTTGCGGTAAATAGAGGCCAGGCAGCGGATTAATAATATAAAATATAAAATAATAAGTAGTTATAAAGATAAAAAATACCACTGAATAGCTATTTTAATTATAAATGGTGTTGTTGTTAAATAGCAGTTGTGTATTTAATCTAAAGTCAGACATTCAGCCTTATCTGCATAACCGGTTATGCGAAAAACACGTGATACTAAACGCACAGCCGGTTGTGCGGGTATGAGTCCCCAGGTGCTGTGGATACAGTGACTAAGCGGTTTGTTTAGCGAGTGCAGAGTTTTTTTGCTGGGCTCGGCGAGATTGAGATGAGGCTGACTAGTCAACGTGCACGGTGATGAAAACTCTCTCTTCCTTCAGAAAGGTCGCTTCTTATTGGGTAATTTGCTTCTTCTTGTTCCTTTATTCAATGTTGTCATTTTGTACTTCTGGAGGTCTCTGGCTGTTTACTGTTTTCATTCGCCAGTTGCCGTGTCTCAAGATGAGGCTTTCGTTCTTCCGCGCCGCTACCGCACATGATCCAATCATTTCCTCGGCCTTTGCTTCTCCACTTCCGAACATTCTGAGGTCTTAAGTATAGGGTACCTAACAGCAAATAACTTCACGAGGCGCCTGAATATACTCGTTGCACTGTCAAATAGCTGAGTTCAGTCACATAGCGCAGTTATAAGTCTCTCTGAACCCATGCGTGGATACGCCATTTGCCATTAACAGGGCCGGTACGACTCCAATCTCTGTTCCCCTCTGCCTCCTGGCCAAAGTGCCATCGTAGAGCGTCGGTGAACTTTTAGGAATCTGCAATCAAGGAATCATCAATGAAGTGGACATAGTACTGTTTTCCAACGTGCTTGGTGAAATAATCCTCCGTTTAGCGCGGCATTTGATAGTGCTTGAGTAACTTCGATTTCTATAATCCAATAGCGTCGTACCAGTGACAGGGAATCACCTAGGCTACGGGGTCTAGCTGAATCAAGGTCTCAATCACTAGTCTCGTGTTGCGGGTCAGCTTTCAAGAGGTTCAGTCGTGGCGAGTCCGAAGCACTTCGGTGCGTTTACTATTACATGAAAGATCTCTATGGTGCTATTTTAGCTCATCTCGCCGATTCTTGGCTGCCCGACAGACCGCCCGAAACCGTCACCGAGACAGGCAAGTTTATTCCGGATAACAGGTTACGGTTTCCTGATAGTATGTGGTTTTCATCCAACGCATACGATAACGATGCATTTATTGAGGGACTGAACACGGACGAACTTGCTTTCCTTGGATTTGATCTAATGACTCGGCTGCTTAATGCTCCCAGAGACGACAGGGGATGTCCGATGGGGTTGATGGAGTGGCTTGCTAAGATACCCATGCGCCTAAGGCAAAAGGGTTGGACTCTTGGCCTGCAAATGGATCATCTTTTCGGAGACGAAATAGTTAACGATGAGCCAAATCACAGGCGCGGGGAGGAGTGGTCAGAGATCGGTCAAGTGTTACGGGATAATGGAAGCCTTATATTCGACTTTAACCTCCTCACTTTCTGTAGTCATTGCGATCTACAGCGGAGAATCTACCGACAAAGAGGGCATGGACATTGCTGGATAGCGCTGGCTATTATCCCGAGGGTAGTATACTCGACACTTTCCAACCCTGGATCAGCTCATGAAACAAGTTTGGTTGGTAAAAAGTGGACCATGATCCGTACAGGTCACAGACATGGCACAATGACCAGAATGAGTGGTTCTTTTCGAGGCTTGATTGCAAGCTGGATACAAACTAGTCAAAGAGTTAGAGTTTACAAAGTTATCCTAAACTATTATAAGTTATCCTTAGTTAACGTAAGTGGAAAACCGGAAGATCAACAACTCTGATTACGAGGTACTAGGGGACAAGCCGCAAGAAGCAATATCAGCAGTTAAATATACACTACCCGCTAGAATATAAGTCACTCAACCTTACGAAGGGCCTCAGAAAGGCTGGCATCCTCTGTTCGCCAAGTCTCTATTGTGTATTGTCAATTCCATTATCGAACCACGATTTGCCTTTACAGCTTTGAAGCACAGCATCTAGGGTCTTTCTTTTCCTCTCCTGGATAAAGGACACTTTTATTCTTCTCCTGTGTGGAAGGAGCAACATCCAACCCCGGATTTCCAGAGAAGAAGTTCACCGGCTTCAACCCAACCATCATCTTCTCACTCGGCATAACAGGCCAATCCTCAATACGCGGGTTATGAGTGGAGCCGAAAGTATGCCAAATGACAATATCCTCATTCCTCACGGAATGAGTAACTCCGGTGTTTCGGCGCCTCGCAATTACAGACGCCAAGCCGTCGCCTCCGGCTGATTGCATCGTGTATTTACCCGCAGGGAAATAATCGTTGTCTTCATACCTGGTCACCCACACCGCATGCTCCGCAAACTCCGAGCGCTTGGCATGGAAGGATTCAGGGTGCGCGAGAAGCATCTGGCTGTAGAAGGGCATAAGCTTGAAGCCGACTGGCGTACCGGTGATGGGGTTGATCTTATTCTCGTTGACGAATTTAAAGGTACGCGCTTTCGTAAAGTCAAGATCAAAGCCTCCTTCCTCTTCGACCGTTTGACTTTCGGTCACATAGCCAACGCCGAAAGGATTATGAACGGCCGGATCATCGATGGGAAGTGGCTTGGACTCTTCAACCACGAGTGAGTTTGCATGGCCGTCAATTGCAGGGTCAATGCGAAGACTGAAAAGATGCTGATGATATGGTGCGAGAACTCCGGGTGCCACGATATTCCCATAAGGATACGTCCCCTTGTGATCTATAGAGGTTGGCGCAGTGGAGAGAATACCTGTTGCCCGAACCTCATAGAAGATGGAAGCATCTTGACTGAAGTGCCAGGCAAAGATATACTCGTAGTTGGTCACAGTTATTATAGTCTGCAGGACCAAAATTCGAGAACGAGTTACGACCGGAACATTCGTGCGGAAGTTGGTATGCTTCCAAAGAATTCCGTCATCCTGTTCGTGACAGCAGACAACATTGGGTAACTTCAGAGGCTCTCCCGATGACGTATTGTGATAAGCGTCGAAGTACTTGATCGTCCCAAGGCAATCACAACCAAGCTGGAGGTTATTGGCATTGATACCGGCGCCATCATTACCAAGGTCGAATGCAGCCTTTCGTGGATATGGGGCTCGTGGATCGCCGTATGGTACGAACATCTCAGCCAACGAAAGGCGATAGAACAGGCTTCGTCCATCATATCGAACGTCATGGAGAGTGAGACCTTCTCGGTAGTTGAAGCCAACTCGGAGATCCCATTTCTCCCAGGTCAGACGATTGCCTTCGATATGGAATGAAGGACCTTCGGGCTGAGTTACATGTAGTGGCTTGGTAGTAGTCCTGGGGTCTGGTCGCAAGTCGGGATGGTATTCGCTAGTGGCAGCAGAGTGGACTCTTCGGCGATCAAATGGCCTTTTCTCGTTGTTTGCTCTTTCGTCTGGTGTTGTTGGTAGACGGTAAACTTTCATGACCCTAAGAGACTCGGATACCTCGGCGCATACATCCAAAGGATAAGCGTAATAGTTCGCATTGGGGTTCTCCAACAGCCGTACATAGAACCAGCACTGCTCGGATTTAGTATACCAAGCACCCACGAAGCCAAGAAAAGCCTACCATGCTGACTCGATGAGTCATATCGTTCATTCCATCCGTCGCATAAGCCCACGGTTCAACGACAACAGTCGCGCCTGCAGGGAGATCAAGAGTCTTTATCAGAGCCTGGACCTCTGCATTGGCGAGACAAGCAGCTTCAACAGCTTTCATGTAATCAGTGTCGATGTAAGAATGCTTCCCTTCAACATGCTGCTTTTTGACAACTTTGTCAGTGTCAAGATCGACAATAAGCTCAAAAAGGTGATTCCCTTCGGTTTCGGCTTTGATGGAAGCCTCCACCCGTGCATGGCGAGTTGGCGCATGGTCAATGGGTTGATTGAGGTGCTCTTTTTCGAGATAAGTGATCATTCCCTTCTTGGCGGGCTCGAGAAGAGTGATGACACGGAAGTTGGGGTCATGACCGCCAAAGTGGGGGCGCACGATGCGTGAAGCCTAGATATCTCAGCTTATCATTGCTGAGATTGGGGATTATTCATTGATGATTGACTGACCCTCGAAATCTCCTCGGGCGACAGAGGGTCAAACGGATGAGGCGATGCAGCGGTCATTGTTACGGTGTCGATTGTCTATGAGGCTCAAATCTAATGGCGGTGTGACTTGGTATGAACACAAAATATCACCAAAGACTCCCAAGTTTATATATAAACAGAAGTGAGTTGGCGAAGGGCCGTCGTAGGTGGCCGATGACGTTGCGCCTTCTAATGACATCGACGATGCGAGATAAACTTCACGACCGGCCCGGTTGGTGTTTTTTGACTTTTGTTCCTGATAATCTTACCCAAATGCCACCAAGAACCCCAATGTTTTGTGCATGAGAGGGGAAACATCACCAAAGCCTTGCCTTTGGAGGTTATAAAACGCGGTTCCCCTCTTGCCTCCAAAGGTAACGCGTCGCGCTAGCGATCGTCATGTGTAGACCTTTTTGCTGATCGAACCTCTAAAGGAAACGTCAGATCCGGGCCGGGGTAGATAGCTTATCTGTGTAACGGTCCGGTATCTCTAACTTACACTCATTGATCGTTTTGACAGATCGCTCTGACTCATTCGTCGGCACTTGATAGAATATTGAAAAACGCTGGTGCGGTTACAATACCTACTCGATCTCGCGAAGCGCGCTCAAAGAACAGCATGGCAGAGCCCGCTGCTGTGCATAAAGGACTGAGACATAAGCTGAAAGGGCTCAAAACTTGGTTGTCGAAATTTGCGCCCAGAAATTCGTATTGAAATTAGCATGTTGCACAAATTCAGCCTCGCTCGTGAAACCCAACTTCATTTCCAATCCCGACAGCCACGCTGTACAAGATAAGCATTTCGCCAAGCCATTACCCAAGATCCCGTACCCATTTTTGGGGCTCATACGATAGCTAAAGCATCTTGCTTCTTAACGTTATAATCTGGGGCAGATAAGCGGATTTTGTGACAGTGGACCTTGAAGGCCGTGCTCTAAGTGAGCGTCCCGCCAGGCATGAGCTTGGATTGTTGGCATGGCACTCCACGCACTTGCCAACGATGATGCCCGGGGGCTGTGTTGATATTAGGGGTTATTGCCAAGCAATGCATGTAACCTTTGGCTTGTTGAGAAATGCATGTCTCACGTACCAAGATATTCTCTAGACTGAGGTAAGCGCCCGTCAATTGGCTCACCGTAACTCCGAGTCCTGAATCATCACATCCGAACGAAAATCGCATGGATTCAGATGTCCATGTTGATAACTGTATGCATGGCAATCCCAGACCTTGCCCCGGAAACGGTGAACAAGCCGTCCGGCGGTGATGGGGTCTAAAATCGCCGGTAACCGAAGACATGGATGGCAAAGACCGATACTTTGGCCAATCAGCATTGACAAAAAGAAGGTGAGCGCGTCGTCAGGTAGCTGGCGGTTTGAACACCTTCCAGTGAGTTCTATGTTATTCCCATGAGCGTCACGAGTGAATCAGCAAAGCCTCACTCGGCAATTAAGAGGAAACTGTTGACTTTGATGCCAAATTCGGCATTCACATTACAAATATTATCAATAATTTTAGTTTGTTGGTGTATAGTAATGATTTGTATAGGGTGACATCTGTCAAATCTGCAATGTTGCGAATCTCACATTTTGACAACTAAGCATCATCAGCGCCTGGGCACATTACGAAAAAACCCCAACAATTCAATCAGATTTGATTTGCTCCGCTCGTCCGGGATCAAGATCTGTCCAAAACCTCGGTAACAAAGTCTTGGAAGATGAGCGCCTCTCTCTTGGCTTCCAAGACAAACTCCAACTCTGATGCTGTAATGTCTGGGCAAGTGACAGTGCTGTAACATACAAGAAAATTAAGGCTCAATTTAGGGCTCGTTTAGCGTCTCGGGCATTGATTGCCGGATGCGGAGAAGCCAGAAACGTGATCGGAGAATTGCCACCCGAGCCTTGTTTTAGCCCGCCCTATAAGGAGTCAGATCTTGTAACTCTTACATACAACAAAGAAAAACTCATTAGTAAAATGCTACCGAGACAGAATCAGGGATCGGAGAAGTGAAATAATCTAAGCCACGCGAGTTCCACGTGTCATCTAAAGGCTAAAAGCATCAGCGTGCATCGTTGGGACATGTCGAGAGGGTGAGGGGAAGGGAATATCACATCCTTCCAAGCACGTGGAGGCAGAGATTGTCATTCTTGGAACAGATGTCATCACTGACACAGCAGAGACTTTGATGCATATAACCGCCAAGTTTATTGACCATCTTGCCTAAATAAGAGTGCATTCCATTTGACCGAGTCATTGCAGCCAAGAGCAACGAACAGCATCGACGAACCAACCAAGCTTACTCGCCAAGATTGGGATGCGTTATTATGACTTCCTCATACAAGATGCCAAGTACCGCCAAGTCGCTGGGGTAATGCTCACCTGATAACGAGCTCCAATGCTTCACGTTTTGTGTGGGTATCAGATTCATATTCGTTCCCACCCACTAACACCTTGGCTATTGCTTGGCGAAATTGGTATTCCCGTCGTAACAGGATTTACTCCGCGTGCTCCGCAAAAGCTTAGCCCCCCCTATTGCATCCCTCTTTTTCCCCAGCTTTCGACTCTTGTCTCCCCCAAACCAAGAGACCACAACAATGACTGCTTCTTTTACCTCTTGGCGGTCTGGGGTCTCCAGGATCCTTTGGACCGGGTTTCCTTCGTAATCTGGATTAGAATGTCTGGGCATTGATACCCCGCGCGGTCTTTGCTGCAACCATTACGACGTACGCGTTTACTTATAAAAAAGGAGCCCGATGTCCCAGTCGCGTGGTCTCGCTCTGCACCCGCATCTCCTCTTCTTCCAGACCCATTCCTTGCCAATTCTTCTTCTCCAGCTTTTCTGTCTCATCTCTTCACCATGTCGATCGGTTCTAGTGATCGGCACTCTCCTTCCAAGGAGGAGGAGGGCGGCATTGCTACTCAGAGCGATGGTCCCACCAACGAGCGATCGGTCCCTTATGTTAGTGAGCAGACGGAGAAGCGTATTCTGAAGAAGCTTGATCGACGTATCATTCCTTGTGTCTGCTGGATCTACCTCATGAACTTCATGGATCGAGGTGAGTTTGGTCTGAAACATCCAGCCCTACCAATACTGACAATTCGATATAGTTAGTATCGGCAATGCTCGTCTCTATGGTCTCGAGGAGGAACTTGGTCTCACAAGAGATCAATTTCAAATCTGCGTGTCGATTCTCTTTGTTACCTACTGTGTAAGTCCCATCAATGCCATATCCATCTCATGAGACAGCCCGCCGACTTGCTCTTAGCTGTTTGAAACTCCCTCCAACCTTATAATCAAGAAGCTGCAGCCTGCCCGATACATTGCCGGTCTCGTTTTCTTCTGGGGTATTGTGGCCATTTGCACAGGTTTCGTCAACAACTTTGGCTCAATGGTAGCTTGCCGCCTGCTTCTTGGTTTCTTTGAGGCTGGTCTCTTCCCAGGCATCATGTGAGTGTTGGACTTCTCCATTTCGTGATACGTATCTGACCATGGTCATTTCTAGGCTGTACCTGACCACTTTCTATCACAAGAAGCACATCTCACTTCGCAATGCGTACTTCTATTCCATCTCTGCCATCTCTGGAGCCGTTGGTGGTCTCGTTGCCCTCGGTATCGGTGAGCTCGACAACTGGGATGGCCCTCAAGAGGGTGCTGCCGGATGGCGAGCCTGGCGATGGATCCTCACCATCAACGGTATCCCCACCGTCCTGACAGCCGTTTTCATCCCCTGGATCCTGCCAAACACTCCCGCAACCGCCAAGTTTCTCACTGAGGAGGACCGACAGAACCTCTTGGACCTGCGAGCAGCGGAGATTGGTCAAACAACATCTGGTCAGGAGATGCACAAGGAAGACGTCATCGCTGGAGCCAAGGACTGGACCATTTGGGCTCTCTCCATTGCTCAATACTGTAGTCACTCAGTCCTTTACAGCTTCAGTGTCTTCTTGCCAACCATCATCAAGCAAATGGGCCAATGGACCGACAAGCAAGTCCAGGGTCTCACAGTCCCTGTGTACGCCGTGGGCTTCGTCACCTATCTGATCTGTGCCAACATCAGTGACCGAACCCAACAGCGAGGGCTTTTCTGCATTGGAGGAGGTTTGACTATGATAGTCGGCTACATTCTTCTGATTGCCAACCAAAGCACTGCCATGAGCTACGCTGGATGCTTCATTGTTGCTATTGGTCTCTGGACCGGCTCTGGATCTGGTATGGCTTGGATCACTGTCAATCAGCCGCGATATGGCAAGCGTGCCTTCGCTAGCGGTATCTTCATCACCATTGGAAACTCAGCTGGTGTTGCCGCCCCTTTCCTGTTCAGCAACGAATACGAGCCCCATTATCGTCCCGGCTACGGTGCCTCTATTGGCATGCTGGCCCTTGCTGTCTGCATTCACACTGCCGTCTACCTCCACTTCAAGCGTCTTAACAAGAGAAAGCTTTCTGGTCAAGAGGACTGGCGCATGGAGGGCAAGACTGAGGAGGAGATTGCTGAGCTCGGCGAGCACAACCCTCGATACCTGTATACTCTCTAGAGCCTTCAATCTGCTTTCCATCTTGAATTGACTTGACGAGAACTGAGTTGACATTTTTCATATAATGGATAAGATTTGTTGGGTGAAGTCTAGATAGATATTTAATCTAAATTGAAAAGTTTTGTCCAAACTCTAGCTCGAATCTTCTTCCATCCCACCGTCATCTTCGTATGTAATACATAACGTTGTCGTATGATTCTCCTTGGAGCAAATGCTTTTGTATTCAAACAAAGCGGCATGCTTATAGTCCTCTGAAGAAAGTATAGGTGAAAATCTTTGTGCGAGTTGATCTGATCAATCTTGTACATACTCGTCCAAAGACTTGACCGAGACTAAGCACTAGCAAAGGAGCCATTGAGGGTGATATCATTAGGTTTTTAAACTGATTGGCATTCGAATATTGACTCATAACTACCCTTCAGAGACGGACTATCGTTTTGCGAAAGGGTCACCTTCTCCCACCATACCTACGGTGCCTTAGTTTCGCACCTTGATTATATTCGATAACCTAAGTGGTTATACATAATCACTTCCATGTCAGCTTTTGCTATCAGGTCATATGTAACGCCAAGCATTTATCGTCATCTCTTCCAGCATCCAGTAGGTTCTCTGTGGCAACAATTCACGCCATGACGCAATGAAGATTAAGCCATGTCTTGGTGATTTTCTTGGTGGTTGCAAATTACATCAATTGCAAGGCCCGATGTAGTGTCGGTCTTGGAAATTGTCGTGGCTTGAGGTATGATGAAAGCGGCGTAAATAAGCGTGAAAAGGATCAAAAGGCCAAGACCTGAACGGGGTTGCGGGGGAATCGCCTACGATCTGAGATTGGGGAAAACTCTAAGTGCGAAATGGAGAAGACGCTGAATGCGGAGAAATGAGCTGGCCTATATTCAGTATAGTGTTAAACTATTAATACTTTTAAAGATATATCAGCTGATGTAGAAACCTCCTGAGACTGGGATGATGATTGGGGAGTTTGATGCTATACTCAAGAGAGCATAGTTGGAGTGCAGGTTGTCAGACTGAGCTGTCAATTGAGTATCATGCTGCTGAATTGGATGAGCGTGGTCTGGATTTTGAGGCTGACAAAGTTCAATGTCACTCGACAAATGAGCTTTCCTTGCATGACGTTTGATCAGCGGTTAGATAAGAACGAAAGGAAAGTCAAAAAGTATGGACACCGTGCAGCTAGGAACGCTATATCAGTGGCAGATGAACGCTACTGCTCGACCATGTTAACACGCCTTTAGAGCGTTCGGAAATACTTTAAAGTTTTAGCAATATAGACATAGCTAAGGTCAAGGCGATGCTGTTAATATCTTGAGGCCCTCCAGTATCAGCTGGCTGAAACTGTATGTTTTATCGGTTGAGTTTTCAGTGCAAGGGTATTGCTTTTTGTGACGACTCAAGATCCCTGCTGCAAAGCATCAAAGTCCACTGTTCGCCCGCCGCGGGTTCCGCCTGTCCCCTCGCAGAGCAAATGCCGAGGGAACAAAAATACGGAGGAAAGAAGTCGAAGTCGCAAGAATTACTGCTGTGAATAGTTATGATGATCAAGAAGGAAATGATCAGTAATCCTTTAGTTCATGTAGTCATAAAACCGACGCGGATGTTTCAATGTTGCCGAGGTGGATTATAAATGCTGAAACTTAGCGCGCAGCACCAACACGAATCAGGCATTACGCCCGTTGACAGAGCTCAAAACATGCGAAACTCTCTGCGGACTTGTGGACAATCAAGTCACACTAAGGCCATATTGCATCAACAGCCGTGCGGGGGTTATGCGGTGAATCCTTCAAGGAGGTATAAAAGTTCGCCAACTATCCTCACGATAATATGAATTCCAGTTACTCTCATCATCTAGACAAAATCGATCAAAATGGCCCCTCTCGATAACCCCGCTATCCCTAAAGGCTCTCTAGTCCTCGTGACCGGAGTCAATGGCCTTCTTGGTTCCCATGTCGCCAAACAATTCCTCGAGTATGGCTACAAGGTTCGCGGAACTGTTCGTGACGTCGAGAAGAATGCGTGGCTCACGGCTGCATTTGACAAACAATATGGCCAAGGAAACTTTGAGCTTGTTGCGGTGGCAGACTTGACAGATGAGAAGGCTTTGACTGAGGCAGCCAAAGGTAGGAACCAGTTCTTTACGCCGACAGAGTGATATGCGACTAATGCAACAACTACAGGGGCCGCTGTCATTGCGCATACTGCGTCAATTATGTCTATGGACCCTGATCCTAATAATGTTATTCCTGGCGTCATTAGCTTCGCCGTCGCGGCAATCAAGGCCGCTTATGCAGAGTCCAGCGTGAAGCGATTCGTCTTCACCTCATCATCTTCTGCCGCCGTCGTCTCTCAGCGCGATGTCCCCGGTGTCAAGGTGACTGAAGAGAGCTGGTCTGAAGATGCGATCAAGAAGGCGTGGGCTGATCCTCCTTACACCCCCGACCGACGTGGTGCTGTGTATGCGGCAAGCAAAGCCCAGGCAGAACAGGCTATCTGGAAGTATCACAAGGAACACCGAAGCGAGAAGCCTGAATTGGTCGTTAACACCGGTAAGATATCCAACAGAAATGCATATTGCTACCTCTGACTGACTGATAATAGTCCTTCCCAACTTCAACTGGGGAAGTTCTATTGATCCCGTGAACCAGGGATACCCTAGTAGCTCTGGCCTCCCAGTGCTTCTCTTCAAGGGACAAGTAACACCATTCCACAGCTCTATCGTCCCTCGTAAGTCTCAAGCATCTTTTAAAAATGATCATGTACTAATATCGGCATAGAATATTACATTGATGTCGAGGACACAGGCCGGCTTCATGTTGCAGCTGCCATCTTCGATCATGTCAAGGAACAGCGTATTTTTGGCTTCGCCGGTCGCTTCAGCTGGGACGCTATCCTCGATATTCTCAGAAAGAACTTTCCCAACAGGACATTCCCCGAGAACTTCTCAGGTGGAGAGGACCCTAACGAGATCGAGCCAAGAGACAAGGCTGAGCAGCTTCTTAAGGATCTAGGCCGACCTGGTTGGACAAGCTTGGAGGAGTCTATTCTGTCTAATGTTGAAGCTGTTGCAAAGGCGGAGGAGGATCCTAAGCTTTAGGACTTTCCAGAGGTTAACGAAAGACCAGCTTTCCGGCAAGTCAACTACATCATCAACCTCGTTGCCATTTTTAAGGAACAGTGGTGACGCATCGGGGAAAAGAGAACAAATAAATACTTATCAGCGATCAATACATCTCTCTTATGAATCATTCAAACATTGTCATTCTGGTTGAACATCAATACAAAGTGCCTCCGTCAAAACATCGGATCACAAATGGCCGACCAGCTTCAGGCGTTAACAAGCTCCTCGAACTCCTCTGACGTGTCCTCCACAACTTCAGTCACATTTGCCTGGGGCACCGCAGTCGACTGAGGATCGTGGACCTTAAGTGCAATGCCAATTTCATCAACACGCTACAAAAAGTCAATCTATTTGCATTGTATCATCAGCCTCAGTGTACATACCTTCATAATCAACTGCTTAGCTCCTTCGGACAACTCTGATCGTTTAGCATTGATTTGAAGCTTCATTTTTCCATAAGCCTCATCAGATAAGTTGAGAGTGGACAATCTCCCCACCCAGTCGATGGCAGGAACTAAGAACTTATCCGATAGCTCATTGTATAGTTCTGTTGCCCTGGATGCGATGGAAAGTCTCTCCTTCATGAGGGAAACATCTCGAAGATAGTCCTGGTCGAGTAAGTAAAGCAACCAACTTCTTCATAACTCAACGCTTACTTTCTTTAACTGTGGGTCGTCGTTCATGTCGTCAATGTCTTTCGCGGTAAGGTCTTTTATTAAGACACGGTCATCACCGTCTTTGACCGTAGCCACAATGTCCTGTATGCTAATCAAGAAATCCATAAAGTTTGCGATTTCCCTTTGAAGAGTATCAAGATCCTCTAAAGTACTCTTCAAAATGTTGATCATTTTTTCCTAACAAAATTAGTTGCAACCTGGAATGGCTGATACGGAGACGACTTGCCAAAGACTCGTTTTCACACAGGTTCTCGCCCAGTTCTTTGTTGAGAATACCTATCTGTTTCTCCAGTGTTCTGATTCTCGACTCCACCCACCACTGTGAGCCCAGTCGCACAATATGCCCCAGAGGAGATTCAACGACTGCGGACGCTATGATTGACGCGAGGACAACGGGGCTAGCTTGCCCAGAAACTATAACACAGTCAGATGTCAAGCGCATACTTCTGATGCTTTCTAAATATTCACCGTTCGTTTCTGAGGAGCCTTCAAAAGGTCTCTGAAGTGCTTCTTTTGATTCCCTGAAGGTCGCAAGATCTAATTCGAGATCTTCTTGTTCCGCTACGTAGAGCTCAATCTCGCTTGCTGTTTCTTCTTGAAGCATTCGGTTTTGGCCGAGTTTGAGTCAGCCACCTCCTGAGATATCTCCAATATGGGGCAGATACTGGTTGACGAAGCAGCGGTCAATCATGAGTTTTTCAGAAGTCTTTGTATACGGCTTGTTCGACACCTTCCACTTCTCATCAAATTTGTTTGATATCACTGTGCCTCCAGGAGTTCCGGACCACCTGCCGGCCTGGCAGCAGATAAGCGACGAGTGCTTCGGAGCCACTACTCTACTAGAGGAAGGGCAGTATCCAGAGAGTCGACAAACCTTCAACATTCTATGTGAGAGGTTGAAGATTATTTTTGGGATCAGCGATTGTGGAATGATCATTGTCATATGGCCGATTTGTATCAGGCTTCACCAAAACGGGTTGCTTTACAAAAGCTTTGCGCTACTCGAGTACTTCTTGGATCTTCTTCGGTTCCTGGCGCATCAACGCTATCCTAGTGGGCATCCAATTCCAAACCTGCTAAAAGTCTTAAGCCAGACACCGGTCGAAGAACGTTTGGAGATCCTGCGAGTTGGCTATCAGCGAACAATTCGCTCTCTCGAACGCCGCGTTGGATTTGGCAATGCCGTTGTGCTTTCAATGTGGTCTAAATATCTTAAAAGATTCAACAGCCAAGAGTTACCTGCAAGTGCACTCACTTCTCGTTATGAGAGTGTCCTAGAGGAGGCTCAGAACTCTTTCACAGATACAGGGACCAGGGCAATTGAGATCCTTCATGGTTACATTTATGCCGCACACTACAATGCTAATAACCAGATGTTGACTTGGGATCTTGACTCTTTGATGGTTGATCGAGCATGGTCAATTGGGCTTGACCAACCTCAATGGTGCTTAGCTACTCAAGGCTATGCAATGCCTGCAAAGCTTTTGTATGCCATGTCGGAGCAGACTGGTCATGGCAACCAGGGAGAAGCAATATTGTGGTCTGCCATAACCAGGCTTGGTTCTGGCGATAGAAAGTGCCGGACAAGAGCTCTTATGTTGGCAAATATGTTAGGGGGCACAGGAAACCAAGTATTATAGCAAATTGCATTAAGGTCAAACAGTAAATCTCGAAGAAGGAAAAAAAGAAGCAAGGGTATATAGGATGAATCTTGGAAAAAGAGTAAAAAGAGTGACCTGCGTATGGCAGGTGGCTGGATCTCTCCCGCCGGGAATTGAACCCGGGTCTCAAGCGTGACAAGCTTGCATACTGACCACTATACTACGGAAGATAACAGGCTAGAGCCTGCTGTAGTGGGTTGTGGTAGAGAATGGCGTCCTAGCGTATATAACCATAGGGATAGCCTCACGCTAAGCTCTAGTGGATGGATCTTAATTACAGAATAAGCGCAACCTACACCAGATGAAACGTCTCAACTGCCACCTCTCCATCCTCAACTTTCCTTTTGATATACATATCCGTGATTCCATAAGCCAGACATGGACCAACGTATTCATAATCATCTCCACGCTTCCGCAACAGAACAAGATCCTCGTACCCATCTACAATGCAGATGACATCTCCAACTTTGCAGTTCTGTGGCCCCATTCCCAAATATCCAGCATCGGTTTCATACAACCTCGTATGGTAGTTTCGCTTCATCATAAACACTTGCTGAGCATCGACATCAAACATCCTCGCCTTCAGTGCATCAGGCCCGCCGATCAACGGCGAAATACATCCCATCATTTCAGGGTTATTTCCTCCATCCTGAACTATCATGACGGAAAGACCGTCAGCCTCACGTGTCTGGAAATATGTCGTAACACCTCGTGGTCGATCGCTTTCTGGAATTTGGAGGTCTAGTCGCTTCGTGAAGTTAAGCAATAGCAACATGCTCGGTGTATCCAAGGCCAGTTTCTGCATCCTCGCGACCACTAGAAATAGGGCCCAAATTGAAGGGATCTTAGTTGGATAGAACGGTATGCGATTGATGTAATTTTGTATCCAGTCGGCAAGATCACCTCCCTTCTGGAGATTTTGGATCTCTGGGTTCCCTCCGACCTTCTTTAACGTTTGCAATTTCACACCGAATAGGTGCAACTTGGCATCCGCGATGTTTGGCCGTGGAATATTAGGGACGATTCGAGTAAGTTCGAACTCTCCATCAAACATCAAAGTCGGGTTATCGGTCGCTCTTGATGGAAATTGCGGTGCCCAGGATGGCAGCCTCAGAGGATCTTCGAAAACACCCGATCCAGCATCTCGAAGAAATTGCACTTCTCTCCTGCCGCTGTTCCCAATAGTTTCTAGTACCGCCTTGCAGTAATCTACATATACACCTCTGACGCTCTTGGTGTAGTCCGGGCTAAGGGGAAGTGAGCTAAGACCCAGAAGGCCGTAGATGTGGTCTCTAGGATCTGTGGCTTCGAGTGTACCACCAAATGCGGAAAGTTGAACCGCCGTCCGTTGTCGCTCTTCTTGACTCTCTGTGGCTTTGTCCTTGTGCATAATCTTGGCAACATCGAAACGGATAATGTTTCGTAGCTGGATGAAACCGGTACCTCTAGGTGGACAAAACTTCATCCAAATATGGCTTGGGACAAAGTTGGGTTTCGTTACTTGCTTTTCAGTCAGTTTGAGGGAAAGAATGTCAAACATGCGGCACACGTTCATGAGAGACCTGTACTCGATACAGACTCGTGGGGCAATGTAGAATAATGTTGAGGCCAAGACGTTTTCCTGCAAGATCCAGACGCGTCGCCAGTATGGGAGCAACGCGAGATCATCGAGCGATGCCCAGAACTTGTCGCATTCAGGTTCTTTTGTAAGACCACAAGTTCTCAACCACTCCAGGTTCATCAGGTTATCAACCTCCCACTTTGCTGCCCTGAAGGCTTTGCTCAAGACCATGATAGTCGTGATAGCTGTCAAGATTTTATCGTCCTCTTCAGAACCTAACCAACCAAGTACAAGATCAGTTGATGAGTAGATGTCGCGCATGAGCTTGACTTGTTCAGTACGCTCTGCAGCATCGGCTTGGTTGATACAAACAGCGTCGACCCAGATTCTGAATTTGGATTGATCTCTATTGGGAAACTCATATTTCCAATAGCCTCGAACTTCCTTCAACGCGCGGGCGAGACTCTTTGAAACAGGAACCTCAACGCCGTTGATGTTGATGTTGACCCTGTCGGCTGCACTTCCCCATACATAGGATAGCGCAGCAAAGCGTAGTTGTTTGCTGAAAGTGACGGTGTGCAATTTACATGAGACAACACCGTTGTCCTCAACTACCTCTAATAGTCTTATCTCAGGTTTTGAAGTGTCGAGCGGGGTCTGATACAGGTCTTGAATGGACATATTGGCGATGATGAAATGAGGATCGAGAGGCACTGGGTAAAGTGATCAGTATTAAAGTACTAGATAGTGTCTTGATGCCCGTTAAATTGAGTTTTCGGCGATAAGAAAAGAAATTGTAGGCCAGAGGAACCCTGCTGGAGAGTTTGAAGGTCAAAATACAATGGGCTGTGATGAGGCTGTGAATGCGCCTGACAAATGCCTTCTGGCGCTTAGCACTATTAGGTGTGCCCTGCGACCAATGAAACGACCTTGGAAATTTGTGAGCTGCATGGTGGTCAATCGTATGGCATTTTCTGAGACATTCTTTTAGAAACTGTTTATTGAGAAAAGATCGCACATCGGTGCTTCAAAAATGAGTAGAGTCAATTTCGCCTTGCAGGGTATCCTTTTTCCATTTTTCCAAACAGTAAAACGCAGTCTAAGAGCTATGAAAGTCGGGCAAAGCGCTGAACAACGAATAATCATAACAAACAGGATCCAGAAAGAGAGGATCAAATCTTGGCAATCCCGAGTCAGCGTTCCCGCGCGCCGGCGATACCAACGTTAGATCTCCTCCCTGGTCAGATGTTGCAGGCATTGAAGAAGATGAGTTTGGTATTGTCTGCGATAAAGGCAGTGCATTCATCCTATCCATGGCGTCGGCGATGAGTTCTGAAGCGCAGCAGCGAAGGCGGTCGTATTCTGCTTCTGCCATGCGCCACATGCGCCGGGCGCTCTTGAGACATCCGAGAACGAGGGTGACGCGGTTGTAGTGATGTTCGAAGCATTCGTCAGGATGGCCTTGGGAGGTTGCTATTTGGATGAAGCCGCATAGTGCGAGCGCTGGAATGACAAATGGTGTATGCTTTGGTACATTGGGGCATAGCGATATGCAATCTGATATTCTTCTTGAAGCGTCTGTTGCTTTGATGCCTTGGATCAGACTTGTTGATGATGAAAGAGGATGGTTCTGCGCAAAAGGCAGGAAGGGGTCCTTGACATCCGCTAGCAGTGGGTAGAGATTACTCCGCGGAAGATGTAATAGCATGCTGGCCAAGGCGATGATCATATGTGCCTGGAACATCATCTCATCGATGTTACCATACGAATCAACGATCTCCAACTTTCCGGAAGGCAGATGGTTCGACCAGCTAAGAAGGGCGTTCTCGATGGACTGCGTATGGTCATAGCTACTGTTCTTCAACTGATTCAGCAGCAAGACACGTCCTAGAATCGTCGCAGCTTCGATGCGATAGCTGAATGAGGAGAAGGCAACGTCGCCGGTTGAGAGCACCCGCCTCTTGAACTCAAGAACATGGTGTGACGGAGGAATGTCTAACCGGCCATTATAGAATGCTTCTTCACATGGTAAGAGGACCTCGGGCGGCGTACTGCTGCATCGCAGGATCATTGTTTTGGGAGGGATAGCCATGGAGATGTCAGTGACATAAATTTCCCACCAAGTTCTCCTCAGACTTTCGGCCTCAATCGGATTATCGAGCTGTCTCGACGATGCAAAGTCTTCGCGATGCATGCCCAAATCCATGGCCATTTGCGTACATTGGCCGAATGTTCTGTTCGCGGTATCGAGATCGCGACTGAAGAACAAAAGGATAGAGTAGATCAGAAGCGACTGAACCATGTAAGTCGAGGTTTCGATGGCGGACATCATATCAGTCGCAACTTCAGCGCGCAGCTGTGCGTCTGGCCCAGAAGAGGCATAGTGAGATCCTGCAAATTCAACCATGCGACGCAAATATGGGGGATAGTTCCGCGATGTGAACACCGAACTTGGAACGAGGAAGGGATGAGCATTGTGAAAGTTCTCGTAGTACAGTCGAAGCAGGCGATCACCATCGGAACAAGGCTGTACGGGAGTATTGAGACTCCCCAAGCTATTGCTACCGAAGGTTTGTGTAATGATGTTAGGGTCAAGATGCGTTAGATATGACATGACATTATCGCTTTGAGGTTGAGGTTGTTGAGCAGGGGTTTGGTCGTCGCTAATCCGTCGTTGGGTCTGCACATTTTCGCCTCGGGGTGATTGACGGGTATGTCGGGCGACACTTCCAACCAAGTCATTGCTGGTAGCTGTGCTCTGACTTATTCCAGATGATGGTAATTCCTGGGAAGAAGATGTCGGAGTAATCGGTAAACTGATGGGATTTACAGTTACGCAATCCACATATGAAGATTGTTGGTCACCTTGAGAAGTCTGCATCACGGGCTGTCTACTTCTCTGCTGCAGTTCCTCGGCTGGCGAACGATGCTTCTTGCGACGTCCACCACGTCGCGATGGTTCGTAGTAGCATACTTGCTCTGTCTCTTTGCAACGCGAACACGAGGGTTTCCCCGCATCGCACTTGAGGTGCTGCTTTCTGCAGACGACGCAAGCAAGACTTGCTATGCCGGTCGATTTGACTGATCCGGTTGTTGAGACTGTCATGATGATCTGCGGTGAGTCGGTAAGGATGGGATATCAGAAGGAGGTGGATTCGGGTGAGTCGGCGATTGAAATGTATGCAGGGTTTGATCAGGACAGATTGCGCAATCACGGCATGAGCCTCATGTAGGATCGTTAGATTACCCCAAGCATATGATCCTATCTTCAGCGGCCAAAAATGAGATTGGACGGTGAAATGAATGAATGAATGTGCATATGTATCATGCTATCTCAACGGTAAAAGCAAACACGAAGTTGAGGAATGTTGAGTGGAGACAGGATGATCTGACTCGAGTTTGTGAGTGGTCAATGCACTGATAAGCTGATATCAGGCCACGTCTTGGCCAGTCGATAACAACTGATAAGCCGAAGATATCCACATGATCTACAATCTCAAGCCGAGAATCCCATTGTTCTCGTTCCCATTCATCATTCTACATCGACCTCATAGAGAAGTAGAGGCTAAGATAGTTTTGATCCCTTTACTTCGACAATCTAAGACTATTCTCCTTATGATATCGCGAGGAGGCTTGGTTCAAGAGCCGATTTGAACGTTTCTATTTTCATGTAGGGACTTCAATCGCCGATCAAGATCCTGGCGGACATCCCTGTTATCTGAAGTCTCGGTCATGAGCCAATCAATGCAGCGCTTGAATCCCCGTAGACAGTGGTACGAGACTGACCCTTGAATGATGGCTCGGCGATTGAAGATGCGGCTCTATTATAGATAGCACCTCGATAACATTGTGCAAACCGGCCTGTAATTAAACAGTTCAAACTAATTCAGTACTTCTGCACCTCAAGACCCAAGATTATTATCGTATCTATTTATTTCACACGACTATTTGAACTCTACCACAATGGCTGCAGTCTCAACACGATTTGACCCTCTGCCACTTACACCGTGTCAGTCATCTCATCAAGCCTTCACTTCCTACACCGACTTTGAAGAGCCCGAGGCGTACTCTTTGGATGATTTCGTACGGGACGTGAAAGCCCATCTGGGTGAGGAGGGCGGTATTGGCTGCGATGACATCGACGAGGACTATCTTATCTCCCTGGCGAAAAAGTACACATCGAACCCCAACGACTGGGCACGCTATTATCACAACTGTCCAGAAAAGAACTACACACGCAATGCGATTGTCAACATCAATCACAAAGCCAATATTGTGAGTATTCTAGATCATTGACTGTTTGCGATACTAACTCCCCCAAAGCTCTTATTAGTCTGGAACCCAGGAAAAGGTTCACCCATTCACGATCACGCCAATGCCCACTGTATCCTCAAAGTGCTGGCAGGCGAGTTGACAGAAACCATCTATAACATGCCTGAGAAGGGTTGCGAAGACTGCCCTCTGTCAATCAAGAGTGCCAATACCCACCAAGCCGACCAAGTCACATATATCTCAGACGACATTGGTCTTCACCGAGTGCATAACCCTCACCCTACCCAAGTGGCCGTCTCTTTGCACAGTAAGTTCCAAAGTTTCTATGACTTCGCATTGAATTGCTAACTAACATGTATTAGTATACACTCCGCCAAATGCTGCTGATATCGGTTATAATATCTTCGACGAGTCAACGGGTCGTGCAAGCTTCATGGCAAAAGCCGAAGCTCGCTAATTAATATTTGGAAGAGTTTGAGATAGTCCTTACATACATTGATACCCTGCCATAAAAGATACAAAGAATAGACATTGATTCAATTTCGCGACCGTATAATATTTATTGAATCTATGTGAAAGGTAACACAAATCGTCTATAACCTAGTGAAATTTGACATCGGGCAAGGCAGCAGCTCGTGAAAGGTCTGTCCCTCACATGGGTACACCGTTGAGAATCAACTTGAAAAGGAGAGAGTTTTTCATCTCATCAGCGCGAGCCTTCAGCTCATCGACATCCCAGTTCACCCAGACAAATTTACCCTTGAGAAACTCCGCCTCTGGTGACGCAAGCCAAACATAGAATTGAGCTGCAAGCGCAGCTACATATAGCCAGTCAGCTAGTAATCCACAAAATGTTCAAGTTGACTTACGATCATCCTGCCCGACAATATCAAACCTCTCATTCAGCTCAGTGCGAATGACGCCAGGCTGAATCTGGACAACGTGCCACTCGGGATTATCGTCCTGCAGGTACTCGAACATCTTGAAGACGGCGGCTTTGACGGCAGTATACGCCCAGCCTTGAGCGATCGGCCTCAGGTGCACCATTCCGGTTGATGTATTGAAGATGTAGGCATTGCTGGTCAGAAAAGGACCGAAGGACTGGAGGGTGTTGAAGGCGCCAATGACGTTGAGTTCGATGCCCCGACGAAACTCTGCTTCATCGAAACCGACGACTGCTCCCACATCGGGAGAAACGCCGGCGTTGCTGATGAGGATATCAATATTAGCGCCATCCGCTTTCTTGACCAGGTTTGTGACCGCAGCATCTAATTTGCTACGCTGGCTGATGTCGACGGCCTCGAAAATGACATTTGTTTTGCCTCCACTGGCCTCTGCGATCTCGGCTGCAGCTGTCTCAAGTCTATCGAGACGTCTTCCAAGGATAGCGATGGTTGACGCTCCGGCTTGCGCAAAGGCAATAGCGATTGACTTGCCAATACCTGTACCACCACCAGTAATCGCGACAAATTTACTGGCTGCACTGAGCTCCGGGCGAGTTGGGTCAATGGAGGGGTATGGCTTGTTATGCCAGGTTTTAGTGAAAGAGACAAAGTTATCCATGGTTACTCTTGAAGAATGTTGCTTGCAATGAATCTGTTGAAGTAGTTGTGAAGATACCTAATTGATGGTAATCTGGGGACTTTATAGGAATACCTGTTCCAGATGGAGTTGTGCTACTTCGCCGAGAAGCCCTTATTCAAGCGCCATTTGAATCATTCAGCCTACTCCATGGAAGGCATTACACATCAGCTCTATCATGACCAAGGCAGAAGACAATCGGAAGTGAAACTTCCATGGAAGCCGAAAACGGCATAGTCACAGAAACAATGGAGTTGTTGGAAAGCTTATTCTTAGAAATATGCGCTTTGTCAGCCAACTCCGCTTCCGCGGAAGCGGCTGGACCACTATAACCTCCCTCCATGGAAGTATTGTCATCACTTTAAACCGCTTCCCACCTTTTGCAGCTAATGCCCGCTACCATACCAAAAGTCCAATATGCAATCGAACAACCGACCACGAAAAGTAATATTCAACGGTATATACAGATGGCTTGCTAACTGGCGATCAGGCGTGCGACCTCTGTTATACACGAAAGATCAAGTGTGATGGATTGCAGCCTAAATGCTCAAATTGTGTCAATTACAAGACTAATTGCACACACACTGCGCGTAGTCGAAAATGGAAGCCCAAAGTTCTGCAAGATGACGAGCCTCAAAAGGAGGATGAAATCCGGAACCTCCAAGCGCAGATGCAAGAGCTACAACAGCAACTGGTACTGTACTGCAGAATCACGCGGTGAACAGAGGTTAATGTCAAGATGTAGGCTCAGTACAAACAGGCAACAGAGATTGCATTAGTTGCGTCTGCGCCATCGCCCCAAGCAGACTTCAAAGATGACCTCGCTCAAGTCAGAAAGATACGCCACTCTCTTAAACTCCCGCCCCTTCAACAGACGATGCACATGATTGGCATCTATCTCAATACTGTTAACTCGTTATTGCCTCTCTTCCATTCCGACACTCTTCTACGACTTGTTGGAGAAACCTACGCTCTTGAACCGAAACAGCGCGACCCAGTCGTCTGGGCTGCGATCAATGTCGTGCTAGCCATGGCACTGCAACAGATGCCCAAAAGCAATAGCATTGGCACTCCGTATGGCACTACAGAAAGCTATCTGAGCCACGCTCAATCGGTTCTATGGGCTATAACGCTAAGCCAGACTCAGCTCATCAATATTCAGACGCTAATTGGAATGGCCATGCTGCTACAAACTGGACATGACTCTACGCCGGCCTTGGTCATTATATCAACAGCGATGCGTCTTATACACAAGATCGGTCTACATAACCGTGCCTATTCTGCGCATCTTGATCCTGTTGAAAGACAACAACATGCCCGCGTCTTCTGGCTAGCATACATCGTTGATAAGGATCTCAGCCTCCGCGCCCAACAGCCATCTATCCAAATCGACGAGGACATCGATCTTGACTTCCCTATGTCATTCAGTACTGTTAGCAACGGTGACTCTAGCGCTGGTGTAGTTACGAGTATCGACGGTAGCACCACTATGGACTATTTCCTCGCCCGGGTCCAGCTTGCCAGCATCCAGGGTGACATCTACGACCACCTCTATTCAACTCGCGCCTGGAAACGGACACCCGAAGAACGAAGGTTGAAAAGAGAGAATATCGTGCTCGCACTGAACAACTGGAAAGCTTCAGTGCCATCAGACTTCGGCGCTGCTGACGTCATTACAACTACGAGTAATAACCCTTCAGTCGGTGCTTTCTTCTGCATTCTTCATACAAATAGTCTTCTATCCTTGATGTTAATAACAAGGGCACATGCTTGGGATGAGCAATGGGTCGGCGTTTTACGTGATCATGGCAGAGGAGTAGGCACATTACAACTGCCAAGCGATTGGAACTCATTGGTAGGACAAGCGAGAGACTTCATGATCCTATTCGAGTATGTTGTGCCGAAATATTGCTGGTTGAAATGGTAAGTGCTTCCACACGACAACCATTAACCAGCACTGATATATATAGGGTCTCGACTTGTACCTACATTTCTTCAATGGTACTCCTGACTGCCAACAACCTACATGATCTCCAGCACGCGGACTTTGAGCGGGATAGCAATCTCATCGAGAGAGCTCTCGCATGGTTTGGAGAAGTTGCTAAGGAGTTGCCCTCACGGAAGACGGAAGTACTAGAGAACATTTGCGTTGAAGCAGTTCAAGCGATGAAGACTAGACGTGCTCATGAGATTGACGTGAAATTTGGGGGTGATTGGCTCATTGGGTTCCTTAACAGTCTGGAACCTTCTTGATGACGTGGAAAGAGGTAGACTCAAATATTAGTATTCTTCTACTGTTCTAACATGTTTCTGCCAGCATTCCAAGTTAAATTACCAAGGAACTTGCTGAAAGCTACCATTCTCATACTCCCAAAATGTCCCAGGTTCAATGTCCCCCTGGGTCGACTCAAGCAACCTCACCACTGCCTCGGCACCTTCTAAGGGATCTTTCCTGCCCTTGTAGCCGTTAAAAGCCGTCTTGCAGTGTCCTGGGCTTACAGCCCAGAAAGTAATATTGGTTCCGTTCTTACTATGGTTCTCCGCGGCCTGCAAGTGCAGCATAAGCATATTGAGACCAACTTTGGAGACGCAATAGTCAATGTTGGCAACAGGAGGGAGCTAGCAAAGATGAGCGTTTGCACATGATGTCTCTTGGGTCACGAACCTCTTTGTTGTTTGTTCTGGCCATACTGCCGCGAGCACTCGAGATCATGATGACTCTTGGCTCGGAGCACTTTCTTAGCAGTTTACCAAAGGCATGCGTAACGACAGCGTTGCTGGTGATGAGGTTGTTGTAGCAAGAGTTGGATGCTCCTCGGATATCCGCCAGATTATCTGATGATCTTCGCTCAACTTTGCCAGCGTTGTTGATCAGAACTGTCGTGGTCAGCTCTCCGATTCAGTCAATGATCAGAACACATACCGTCCAGTTTCCCATATTCTCGCTCCAGAGATGCCACGGCTGCTTCGATAGAAGCGTCGTTCTCAATATCCAACTCAACATAGCCGAGTCTACCTTTGATTCCACTATCAATTAGTGATTCAATCGCTTCTTGTGCTGCATCCTTTCTGCGAGATCCAAGCACGATGGTGGATGAAGGGAGGCGGGTAGCGATGGCTTGCACAATGGCATAACCAATCCCGCGGTTTGCACCAGTAACTAGGATAGTTGCCATCTTTTCTGAAATGTAGACTCATACACAGGAAGATCTGTCAGAATTCTGGTGCATCCAATATTCATCGCCTTATAAGCTAAGGGTCGGACTTACGGATTTCGGAATTAAGGAAGTGGCTCTGCAACGCCGTGACGGCCACGGTCCAGGATGAGCTTACTGCAGCCACTCACACTGTGATACTGTTTCTGGTGCCGCATGTTCATATAATTACTATTTTATTACCACCTGTATAGATACGGCTCGTAGGTCAGAAAAGAAATATCTGCCAGCTTATTGAAATAACGGTTGATCCGCCTGAAGCCCATGAAGGAGCGAAGTCCACGACGACCATGGAACTCCATCTTCAAAAACCTCGTCGTCGAAATTGAAGCCTTCAAGGAATTTCAAAGGGTCCTCCATATGTTCTAGCTCAGTCGACGTAGCAGGGTCTGTTTTGCGCCCAGTCTTTGCGGTTGGTGCGTCCAGATTCTTCCGCAGTGTTTCAGCCTTAATCCTCAGCGCCTTCAGAACAGCCGGTTTAGCTCCAATACAACCAAGGAAGTCAAAAGCCATCTCCTGCTCGAAAATGCTATCTATAGCCCGCCATGCGCGCTCGACGCGAGGACCTTGCGGTTTGGTGCACAAATACCACAGAACATATAATGTTACATGGTACTGCGGATGAACCTTCTTAGCCCACGAGAACTGCGCTAGAAAAGGATTATTGCCAGCTGCCCTCGCTTCTAGGATGTCCAACGCAGCGACAAGTGTTTCTTCTTTTAGTACGGAGTCATTGACCCCCCTCTTCTGCGATAAGAGCCACTGTTGGTTTGTGACGAAGTCGAGCTTCCGTAGAAGATAGTCTGTGCAGTGGACCGTAAGTCGTTGGTGCGGTGTTACTTGGTTGCACTTCTCCAGTCTGGCCCTGATCTTAGTATACGCTTCTTGAACGACTTTGTCTCTCCATTCTTTGCTGAGTGTTGATGCGGAGGCGTTGCCAGCTTTGAGCTTTTCCATAGCCTTAGCCAAGTCGACATTGATCAACGAGAACGTCATGCAGGTCCATTCGGTCCGTTCGACTGGCAACTCCTCCATTTCAGGGAAGATATCAGCATCATTAATATTTAAGGGTAGCTTGACGTCTGACGTCGATATCAGATCATTGGGATCTTCCAAACCGAAGTCTTCCCCGGACCGGCTATCTCTTGTAATAATATGCCACCAAACTCTTCGACGGAGCTCCGACTCTAAAGGTGGCAAGCCAAGCTTAGTCCCATCCTTATGGAGTCCAAGAGATTGAGCTACTCGGATGACGAGACCATTGAGAATCCAAACAGACTTCCCTCGATTATAAACGCGGATTGCTGACTTGATTCCAGATGATTAGGCATGCCACATGAGGACAGTGGTGGAGTAAACTCACGAGGTATATAGCTAGAGCTCGTAGACCAGTCAATGTTGGCCGATTAAAAAAGTCACCATGAGCAAAGGCCTGTTCGATGCCCAGTTTGAAACGCTGAAGTTCAGTGGTCTTATCCAAGAAGAGCGATGTAGTATCTTCGAGTGACACAGCCGCTGCAAAGTATATACTATAGCAAAATGCAAGATCGTCAAACTTTTCAGTGATGGGTTCATCTATAGTTGAATAAACTCTGACTTCATCGGTGGGAATGTGCGTCAACTTCAGTCCGAGGATGATTTCAACGTTGTTCAGGTAGATATTCCAAAGCTCGATAGCAGTAGCTTTGCCAGGGTGAAATGCAGAAGGTTGCTGGGTATAGCAGGGAGAGGACATAATTCCCATTGCATTAAAGGGGGAGCTTGGAAGCTCTCTTTGCTCGTGCTGCGATGTCGCAAGAGCAGTTGCAATACTTTCGTCCTAATACCTATTAGTACCACGATCATCATATAGTATTAGCAGGGCTCACTTCACCAACGACTCGAGTTACCAGTATTTCATTAAGGTACTGGCCGGTCGAACACTTATGTAATAGCAAGTCTCTGGGCGAGTCTTGCTCATCCGCAATCGTGCTTGGTTCGAAGCTGTTGCAGCACAGATTCCCATGCGTAGTTGCTTCGGCAAGGCTGCGCTCTAAACTCGCAATGCGACCGGCCATCTCAGCCAGAATTGTTTTCTTCGTTCGCCTCACGCGCTGCCCAATCGGTGGGTAAGTGCATGTTCTGCCCGAAGAAGCGCATGACGAACATGGTGTGTTCTTGTCACATCGCGTCTTCTTACTTTTGCAGGTGTTGCACGAGCGAATTTGGTACCGTCCAGGCCCGGCGTTAATCGAGGAAGCTTTAGAGGCCATTGATACTTAAAACCACTAGTCGGGGACTTGAACAAAGAACTGAAGCGGCCTCTGAATGACAGAGCGCACAGAACTTATGCACTATACGGCGTCGGGCTTAAAATTCTGTTAAGTCCGGGTGCCCCGGGGAAGGAACGTGTATGAATGAATGGGGTGGTACACTGGCTTTAAACCCGGGCCCGGCTTCGTCATACCTGGTTAGTAGATTGCGGCCAATTCTTTCTGATCTGACCGTAGTTTCCGGCGCCTGAGGGATGGCCCGAGAGTAGCAACTCAGCTGGTGTTGACTATATGGACAACCATATTCAAGGGACAGTTGCTTTTAGAGGCTATAAGGAGAAAGTTTATATAAGGATATGCCTCGCACGAACAAGTAGCACCAAACCATTCTTCTAAACACAGAACCTAAAGCATCTTGTCTCAAACAACTTGATAACAATCAACTCTGCTCATTATGGCAACGTCAACTACATCGCTTCCCAAGACCCACCAAGCACTGGTCCTTCATTCCACACGAGACCCCTATGACATCTCAGTCGTCACCCAGGATACTCCTCAGCCATGCCCCGGAAGTGCTGTGATCCGCGTTCTGTCAGCTGGAGTCTTGACCTACGCAGACCGAGTTTACAGTGGCCACAAACCTTATCCCTACCCCGAGCCTTTCGTCATAGGTTCTAGCGCTATTGGTCGCGTTGTCGCTGTCGGGCCTGATGCCACTTCTCTTAAGCCTGGACAGCTTGTCTTCTTTGACAGCTTTATCCAGGGACGAGATAGCCCTAACTCGCTTATCCTCCATGGTCTGTCCGGAGGCTTTGACACCGCGAGTAATAAGCTCATGGAGGGTGAGTGGCGAGACGGCACTTATGCGGAGTACGCCAAAGTTCCTCTGGAGAATTGCTTCCCATTGGACGAGAACCGACTCACCGGCAAGCGAGCTGACGGGGGACTTGGATACTCAATCGCAGATTTGGCCTATCTTTGGACCATCTCGGTTCCATTCGGAGGGCTCCAAGATATAGCCATCAGATCTGGTGAGAAAGTTATCATTAGCCCTGCTGCTGGAACTTTCGGAAGCGCCGCTGTTCTCGCTGCTCTGGCCATGGGAGCTCAAGTCATCGCTGTTGGTCGCAACCGTGAAACTCTGGATAAGGTGAAAACTTTGGATTCCGAACGAATCAGAACAGTTCTGAATACCGGAAACGTCGAGAACGATGTCAAAGAGTTGACCAAATATGGTCTGGCGGATGCTTTCTTTGACATCTCTCCCGGAAAAGCTGTCACTAGCACTCATTTCAAGAGTTGTATTATGTCGCTTCGCCGTGGTGGACGGGTGAGCTTGATGGGCGCACATGAGGAACTGAAGCTGCCTACTCAGTTCATCATGCTCAATGACATTACGGTCAAGGGGAAGTGGATGTATACCAAGGATGATATGCGCAACATGATCAAGCTGCTGGAGGCAGGGTATCTGAAGCTTGATGTAGCGCAGACTGCTGGTAACTTTCCCATGGAGGAGTTTGCGGAGGCATTTGATAAGGCAGCCAAGATTAGCGGCCCTCTATCTCAGGTCCTCATTTCACCTTGAAGGCTTGCCTAGTACCGTGTATTGAGCTTGTAACTAAATTAGACATGATCGTATCCCACTCAATATTTATCAAGAAGACCGTTTCGAATAATCTTACTACGTATCACCTGACAGAGGTCTCTAAATGCAATGGTTAGTCAATGATAGTCAGTGCTCAACATAAGTGATGCCGGATCATCAGGCTGTGATAAGGTTGAGAGGATAAAGGAGGCTTCAGCCCGAACACAAAGGTAGAGAACACAAATTAACACATATGAGCAATATCCTCTTTGCCCTTGGATTATCAGGCATTAGTTGATTTCAATGAACATGCAGGGTAGATCTATCGTTTGAGTCGATATCTTTTTTTTTCTGATAAGTGACTGGCGCTTCCAGTTTGCTCCATTTTGCATTGATCCAATGAAAGGAGGATATGAATCTGAAGTGGAGTCAATTCTTTTCTCTTACTGGTTATCGGCCGAGATCAGTCTGACGACGCCATGTCTGACTGCAATAATAATTGGTATTGAGCAAAAAGGATTTATAAATTTCTCAGGTGATGATGCTTTACTATGTATATCCGAGTATCTGGGGCCCTTACCATATACTGCACCCAAAATGAAGACTGATGACACAAAGCGTCCTTGGCCGCTCAGACCGCCGAGACATCTCCCACCAAAAATGACGACGAATCCATGCCAAGCACTGTAAACCATATCTTATTTGACGATTGTCCAGTCAGGCAGTGTAAATTACCATCGAAGGATTCTTTCTACATGAATACCCAGCCGCGGATCATAGGCACTTCACTTCATCGGCGTCATAGAGTTTTGTGGATTCCTTCGGTGCATTCTTCGATGCAGAAACCCTGACGCATCCGGGCGCTGCCGTTTCTACGCTTGTCTTCTAACGCTTCTAACGCTTCTTGAGCTTGCGGAATTTAGCGCATCAGCAGCTTGCATATGATGCTACTCCTGTAGGATGAATGCTACGCGGTACTTGGCTGCCTCTCTGTCGGTTTCACCGCTGTTTCTTTTAATTCTTTATCCAGACTTTTATGTTGCATTGTCGTTGAACGTTATGATTATCTGCCCTGGTGGCTTGGTCTGCCCCCCCGCCTCATCTTGATATGACCATTTGAATCACCAATGAAACAAGAAATAATGCGAGATTAAGCTTAAAAAGTGTTTTAGACTTAATTCCAGCGCAGAAAGTGGCTTTTGTGATGCCCACGCGGCCTTAATTTGTGATGCTGACAATTTCAATGCCAAGATGGCATACGTCAGCTCAGGCGTCATTGAAACTCCATGAGTGGATAAGGTTCTCGCCTTTCGGATTTAGGAGGTGTCGCCTTGTCAGCATCTCCGATGTCATCCTCTCCATGGCGGGGTCCGGAGCCCGGGCTTCCCGCACACAAAATATTTAAGCTTAATATGAGGATGTAACTGAGACTATCAGGGTATCATTAATAGCCATGAATTAAAACATCATGAATGCCAAAGAGTTACAGAATGGTAATCAGTTAGTAGATATGGTTTCAGTATAGCAGAGCAATACATGGCTGAGACAGTAACACCCAGATCAAGATCCCATAAACTTATATCCATGGAGATAGCCGTAAAAAAAACCCTCGCACAATCCGCACTCCGAAATCTGTGTAACAAAGGAAATCACACTACCTTAATTACGAGGCCAGAGTGGCTCAGCTGCCTTGGAAGAAGCCGAACCCGCCTAGACGCACCTAGGTCTTGGCTTCGCTAACTGGCCAAGAGAACGCGTACAGTCCCCGTGTCATAGATGGGGGCCATGCCGCTCTGAAACTGCTAAATCCGACGTCAGATCTTCATATATGGTTCTCCAAAATTCCACTCTGACATGTCTGTTTCAAAGGGTCTGTGACGGTGAACATCTGTGGAACGCTGATAGCTATGAGTCTCTTGACCTTTTTCTTGATCTTTTCTCAGGTCTGCTCTTTGTATTCTGTACAAGGTATGTTATAGCTGGCGTCGTGATGATGGAACACTGACATATGCATCTAGCGTTGTCTCTCGCTAGGGATACCATTGATCGATCGTCAACGATAGAGAAATTGGACTTTTCTCAAAGTCCACACACTCTCGACTCTGCATCTTCATTCCAGGTCGAATTTGACGTTCCTTATGAGCGTCAACGAATCACACTGAACCTACAACCTTCCAGAAATGTTGTATCTCGTCTCACTGCCGTTCAGCACATCAACTCCACAGACAACCATGGTGTCATCACTGATATTCAGAGCCAGCGACCTCTGTTATACAAAGGTGTAGCATTTGTAAATGATATTGAGAAGCAGACGCAAAGAAGAGTAGGATGGGCACGAGTAATGATGCGATATCGTCAAGGTCGACACGTCATTGAAGGCACCTTCACAAATGATGGTACTTATCACCATATTTCACTGGATTCAAATTATCGCCAGGCACGACAGATTCAAGATGGACAACTCAAGAAGAGATCTGAGCGAATGGTAGTATGGAAGCAAGCAAGGGACGAAAGCGTTGGAGGTCTTTCGCAAAGATCATCCTCAGATGAGCCTACCTGTCAGGCCCATAGGTACAATGACCGACGCCGCCAGGCTTCCGATGACCAGGATGCCCACCATCCTCTACTGACCCGACAGGACGTCAACGATTGGTTTGACCCAAGAGACGTGATTGGATCAACAGAAGGATGTCCAAACTCACGAAGAGTCGCCTTGATAGGCATTGCCGCCGACTGCTCATACACGGCAGAATTCGACAACATGCAAGATGCTCGAGATAACATCATTTCGCAAGTGAATATCGCATCCCAAGTCTACGAAGACACATTCAACATCGCACTGGCCATTCAGAACTTGACCATGAGTGATCCTTCTTGTCCTAATGACGCACCGCGATCGATGCCTTGGAATCTTCCCTGCACGGCAAACGTCGATATCAACGACCGATTGAACTTGTTCACACAATGGAGGGGCAGACTACGCGATGATAACGCTGTCTGGTCTCTTTTCAGCGCCTGTCGAAGCGGTTCAACTGTTGGGATCGCCTGGATCGGAAGTTTGTGTAATCGATCACGAGGATCATCATGGGGTCGCGGCGGTACAGCCTCTGCGAACGTCGTTGTCCGCACGACTTCGGAATGGCAAGTCTTCGCGCATGAGCTGGCGCATAACCTTGGAGCTTCTCATGACTGTACATCGGGCGATTGCGGGACTTCAGGATACTCGCCTTCTGACGACTGCTGTCCCAGAAGTGAGACAACCTGCGATGCTCGAAACCAGTACATCATGAACCCCCAAAGCTCTCCCGGTCTGGAGGAGTTTTCGCCATGCACTATCGGCACTATCTGCACTGGCATCGGCGAGGAGCACGTTGACACGAGTTGCTTGGTCAGTGAGGACGAGGTGCCCGATGTCAACGACAGTCAATGTGGCAATGGTATCGTCGAGCCTGGCGAATCATGCGACTGTGGTGGTGAAGAACGATGCCCCGAAGATTCCTGCTGCAACCCTTCGACCTGCCAACTCCGTAGCGGTGCAGAGTGCGATCCACTCACAGATGGATGCTGCACTGACGAATGCCAAGTCGCTTCAAGCGGTTTAGTCTGCCGCGAAAGTACAGCCTCCTGCGATCCCGAAGAGACATGTGATGGAAGCTCGAGTCAATGTCCCGTTGACGTACAGAACTGCGATGATGATGAAGATTCAGGTAGCAGAGGAGGAGGATCAGGAAGGAGTTGGTTTGATAGGAACAGGACGGCTGTCATCGCGACTGCATCTTCTGTTGGTGGAGTTATTCTGATCTTGGTCCTTTGCGTGATATTTTCTTGTATCAGGAAGAGGAGAAGACAGAGAGGAACGCAATTGCAGAGTGGAAACATTAGCGATGGATCGAATGCACCGGTTCTTGAGCATACGAGAGGTGTTACGCAGATGCCAAGCGCACCGAGGTTGGTACATAGATATGCATAGTTGGGCTTGGAGTTTAGGAGATATGTTTTATGATAGATATGGCGGGCGTCAATACTGTTAGGGACTTTACTGGCACAAGAATATGTATCCTGAATTGAAGCGATAGTCTTGGTCTCGAGTGTAAAACCCATGATGCTATTTAGCCCATCGACTTTTCCTTTCCAAGGCCCACGATATCCTTGACTGCGACAACGTCAACAAATTTAGGTAGAATACGCTTCATGATGAACTCATGGACCTCAGGGTCATCGTCAATAATCCCATCCTCAACACAGATAACATGAAAGTCCAACTCCGCACCAGCCCTTGCGCTGCTCAGTATGCTCCCCATAGTCGTCAACCCAACCAACACAACATGCCTAACCCCGCGAGCCCGTAGATAAGCCAACAAATCCGAGGACCCAAAACAATTTGGCTGTAGTTTACCAAGCAAAATTTCATCTTTTCCGCCCCAACCCCTGGGAGGCACTAGCTCAGCCGGAACACCATAGTGAGGACGATGGGGATCAGAAGGCGCGTTGACAAATGCACCACTTGCTTCGAGCTTTGCTACCCAGCCTGCGAGCTTGTTGTATGGCGACACGAATGCATTTGAGTTAATGTTGAAGGGAAGTGTATGGTGGATGATCATAGGTACATCGTCGTAGAGAGACTGAGAATCCTTTGGCTTGGTTGAGGCACGGCGAAATTCAATCTCCGAGCGGAAGAAGTTGAGAAGTTTCTGGATTTTGCTGAGATAAACGGCCTGCTCTTGTTGAGAGAAACGTCGGAGGATTTGAGATTGAACGTCCGAGAGAAGAAGGGCTGTATGATCGAGTGAGACGGGAACATAGAATGGAGATGTCATGATGGGATCCTGATTAGTCGGAAAGAAGAGGTTACTGAATAGCAAGACATGAGCTAGGATGACAACGATAAAAGGCTCTCTTATATGCCAATGGGCTCGATCGCATGCAATGAGAATCGCCCCAAAGCTCGTTCGGTTTGTTGTATCTCAATTGTCCGAACTAACCTCATAAATCATTTAAAACAGTCATTTATGTGTTGCCGCTGCTGCTGTGTCAGCTTTTAGTCAGAGCCGAGGGCGGCATTTTGGACTGTAGCTGTATTTTTGGAAAAGAGCGAGGCGCTATTTTCGGCCTTTTGTTAGCCTGGAGCGACTACTCTGTGAAACATCCTCTGCTAGTAATAACATATATTGCGATAAGTTTCCAGAAGATGGAGTGCATCACAATCGCAAAATTCGAGATCTATACTAGAATCTATGAAAATGAAAGTTTTGGCGCTTTTGACTAATCTATCCTCACTTGACTCGTCAACCCTTTGGTGTATACAAAGGCTGTGAGCGGTAGGTTGACGGAAAAGTATTTTTAAGTGAGTTCTCTACGGCGGAGTTTCAATTCTTGTTTTCGATAGGTAGTAGTAGGCTTGACTTGAGAGCCTGAGATTGTGTTTTTATGACAATAGAAATACAGATGTTGCATCGATATCAAAAGAATGTACAACCCCAAGCGATGAACGAAAATGCTAGGACTTCCAACTTGGGGGTAATAGGAGACCCACTGGGATTTATCGTCGGTAGCACAATTTTCCCTCATACCTTTCGAGGCTCCTACGCCGACCAGGTAATGTAAGTTGCGGATATGGGGTTTCCCTCGTCGTGGGCTTTACCCATCCCCAGATATCACAGCTTCCGGAGCAAGTCCGCTCTCAAGAAATAGCATCATGAACTCGTATTTGTCACCAAACTGTGATCTACAGAGCTGCTTCAGCCTACGCTATAGCTTACTTGAATCACTCTTTCGTATCAAAGTAAGTGCAATTGCAGACACTTCACTTATGCACGTTTGCCCTACGGGGGATGCTAAATCTAGGGCCGAGCGCGTTATACTCCCATAAGCACACCAATAGCAGCTGGCGTATTAGAGCTTAAGCTGGATCGACGATCAGCACGGGGTACTAGTGCTGGCTTTCCTTCTTGGCGTCGATCCGGAGATAAGGTCCGTTATCTAGAAAGGGGGATCTGCAAAGCTGGGGAGAACCGAACCCAAGGCCTCCGAGAGTTCGTTACCTTGAACATACTGGATGTGATGCCTCTCTAGCCTCCTTTCACAAGGGTGCCTTGGGTTTGTGTCTAAAATAACATTCTCATAATTGCGCCTCTAGCAAAGCTCCATGTCTTCGGCTCAAAAGCACATAAGCAGGATAGCCAGTCTACCAAGTCAATAGATTGACAGGGCTAATCAGCCTTCAGCTACTAGCTGAGATTCCCAATTAGGTCTTTGAAGACGAGACTATTTCTTATGAGGTTTAGTAAACCACCTAACCTAGATTGTAGCTCAAGATGGACCTGGGCAGGTACGAGAAACGATACTGTTGTGCTAAGACTGATGTCATAAAACGGATATTCTGTTGTCATTTTCGTAGCTTTCCTTACTACTTAACACCAAAAGCCCAATATTGCACGGACATGCGGCTCAGACTCACAAATCAACGAGGGTCTAATGGCAAGCATAAGTTTAGCATTCAATAAACTCAATTAGACTGCCTTTAGCTCAACGGAAATCCGGCAATACCCATATTTTGGTTCCAATGAAGATCATGACTCCACAAACTGCTTACAACTAATCTGGTAGATCATCATTGGAGTTGTTCCAAGACAATGAAGTAGCGCTGATCGCAAATGGCCAAGATGTTAGCCATGAAGATCGGCAGTTGGTGAGACAAACTGGGAATTGTCTCAACGGGCTGATATCTGTGTTGCTGGGTCGTTCAACTGAGACATGACAGCAATGCAGAACGTCATCGATTCAGATTGACTGCAAGGAGAGAATTTGGCGTGTGAAACATCGAAAAGAAGAAAAGAAAGTAAAGGTGAGGTGCATAAGCAAGGAACTAGATAGTAATCGGAGCTGTTTCTCACCAGTATCGATCTGCAGCAACCGCGCTTCTCCCTTCCTGTCTTCCTTCACCTCTCACCTTTCATCATGAAGATCTTTCTGTCTTCGTGGCTCGCAGCAGCCTGCCTGTTCCCAACAGCTCTTGCATTCCCTCAAATGAGCGCCGAGCAGCTCAAGACTTATCAAGAGCACGTGAAGCGAAGCCCTGCAGCATGCCCTTACTCCCAAGAAGAGAAGAGGGATGCAGGCGAATGCCCCTTCGCGAAAGAGAAGCGAGCTGCAAAGTTCGATTCCAAGAGACAGCGCATCAGTGTTTCTGGCGAGCACGAGTTCCTGCCTCCCAACCTCAAAGCTGGCGATCAAAGAGGTAGGTCATCTTCTGCTCAACATGAGACCAATACTAATGGGGTGTCAAGGGCCTTGCCCTGGACTCAATGCCTTGGCTAACCACGGCTATCTTCCAAGAAACGGTGTCGCAGACATGCAAACCATCATCAAGGCTACCAACGAGGTATACGGCATGAGCCTTGACCTCGGTGGTTTCCTCGCCGTCTATGGCACCGTGTTCAACGGCAACCCAGTCTCCCTTAACCCCGGCTACTCCATCGGCGGTCCAAGCCGCTTCAGTCAGAACATTCTCAACGGTGGCGGTATTCTCGGCACTCCATCTGGCCTCAGCGGTACTCACAACAAGTATGAGTCCGATGTCAGCGCCACCAGAGGAGATCTATACGTGACTGGCAACAACTTCCATGTCATCCTCGAGCGCTTCGTGGAGTACTGGAGTGCTATCCGCGAAAATACTCCTGCGCCTGAGCAATACTCTGCTCTTGCACCCTTCCACTACAAGCGCTTCCAGGATTCGGAAAAGACCAATAGTCACTTCTTCTATTCGCCCTTTGCTGGAGTCCTAGTCTCACCCGCTGCATATTCCTTCCCCCCTCGCATGATGGCCAATCACTCCGATAAGTATCCTGAAGGATATCTTTCGCGTGAGGTCTTTACCAGTTTCTTTGGTGTCAAAGGCAGCAAGCCTGGCAACTTCAAGGTCAACCAAGGCTGGGAGCGCATCCCGGAGAACTGGTACCGCTGACCTGTTGAAGATGAGTTCACCATTCCTGACTTCCTCGTTGATGTTCTAGAGCATGCTGCGAAGTATCCTCGTCTTTTAAACATCGGCGGCAACACTGGCAAGGTGAACTCCTTCTCAGGTGTCGATATCGGTGATCTCACTGGTGGCGTCTTCAATACTGCGATGTTATTGAAGGGCGATAACCTTGAGTGTTTCGTGATGCAAATTATTATGGCTGCTGCGCCTGATGTTCTCGGCAGTCAGTTCACTGACGTTACAAAGGCTTTGAGGCCATTGGCGGACAAGCTTCGACAGCTTCTTGCTGGAAAGACTTGTTCCAAGCTGCAGAAGGTCAACATGAAGTTGTTTGAGAAATTCCCTGGTTACACTGAGTCGTATGGAAGCTATGCTGGTGTTTCTAAGGGGTCTCTCCGCGGTGTGATTGAGGGTGTTGGTGGCATCCTGGGAGGGCTTGTAACCACTGGAAATAAGGCGTAGTCATCAGCTGGCTCATATCGAGTCCTGTCGTGACTCTACCTATGACTGGCGGAAAGTTGAGGTTGTGATCTACTTCTAAGTCTTACGAAGTTTGTTATACTAGTATACACTGCATCAATAATAATAGCCTTATTGCCAATTTTGTGCGACAACTTCTGCGACATGTGATTTTGCGCAACATGCGAGGCATGCCCAAATCGATCTGGCATACACATATAGTGGTGAAGTATTACCACGTAGTAAAGAATTTCTCAGCTCATCATTCATGGAGTCAATGCAGCTTGGAAGCTTGACTCCCTTTAGCTCACAGTTGAAGTCCACTGTAAATTCATCTCAACTGCCGCTGCGGAGAAGCTTCCGTGCCGAGGCACCCAACTCATTAGTGTTCAATAGTTCCAAGGACCACGCGCGTTAGCACTAACGCCAGCCAACAGGGGCAAGCCGAAGCCACTGTCGATCCCCACTCCTCCACTGTCAGAAGATGACGATCATCTCGTAAATAACATGGAGTTGAGAGGGTGTGCTGAGGATAGTCACATGAGTCGCGGTTCTCGCGTCATAGATCAAAGTGTGTACGACCGAGCACAGCGCTCGAAGCGGTACAGCCGGAAGAAGGTAACCTCAATTGCGGGTTAAGTTTAATTTCATGTGTAATCTGTTGTATCTTCTCGTAATGGGTGGAGGTCTCCCCGCAAAAGGGATTCCCTAATCATTTACTGCAAGTCTCACCATCTTTCAGCAGTCCATTGACCATTGTTTTCTTATCTATGAGTTAATCACCTTCTGATTAATTGGCAATGCGGTTCTCAGCACTGCTTGTAGCTTTGGGATTGACCGGCTCTGGGCTCGCAGCACCATACAATTCAAATGGAGCGTTGCTTATTGAGAGACGGCAAGCTTTGACTGGTCTCTTCAACGGCGTTAATAACGCCCTGGCTGTGACGGCCAGCGGACTGCTCGATGAACTCGGCGACGCCTTGAACAAAGGAGACAGGGCAAAGACACTCGATACGCTGCAGAAGCTGAAGTCCACAAAAAAGCCGAAGAACGTTGGCGAAGCATCATCTATCACTGAAAAGATCGCTAAGTCAGAGCCTGATAACATCGTTGAGTACAGCGCGCGATTGATAGCGAATGGCATCGTCTCCGGATCAACAGATGATCTACTGGGCTACGCCCAAGGCCTCGGCTCCGTAGAGAATGGAAACAACAACCAGTATGCCAAACTAAGCTTTCTTCATTCCCAACCTACTCGTCTAATCTTTTGTAGAAACCCTGACCCGCCAAAGAGCGTCTTTCCAAGGGCGGCAAGCTGTGATGCGCCATACACAGTCAGCGAGAACAAGCTCAGGTCTGCTATCTACATCCCGGACACTTTTACCTACGGCAAAAAGCTACCTGTGATTTTGTTCCCTGGTACCGGATCTACCGGCTACATCGCATTTCGGGGCAGCTTCATCCCATTGCTCACCGGTGTGGACTGGGCTGATCCTGTCTGGGTTAACGTACCTGAACTTCTTCTTGGTGATGCGCAAGTCAATGCCGAGTACGCTGCGTACGCGCTCAACTACATCGCCTCCCTCTCAAAGCGAAGCGTTGCTATCATCGGTTGGTCGCAGGGCAACATCGATACTCAATGGGCATTCAAGTACTGGCCATCAACTCGCAAAGTCACTACCGACCACGTCGCCATCAGTGCGAATTACAAGGGCACTGTTCTAGCCAACTTTGTCGACCTCTCAGGAATTACCAACACGCCATCTGTTGTCCAGCAAGAAGCTGGTAGCAATTTCATCAAAACTCTTCGCTCTGACGGCGGTGATTCAGGATATGTACCGACAACAAGTCTGTACTCTAGCTTCCTGGACGAGATTGTCCAGCCGCAAGAGGGCACCGGGGCTTCGGCTTACTTGCTCGACCAAAGAAATGTCGGCGTCACAAATGCTGAAGTACAAAAAGTTTGCGCTGGAAAACCAGGTGGTTCATTTTATACACATGAAAGCATGCTGGCAAACCCCCTCAGTTTTGCACTTGCGAAAGATGCACTTACTCATGAAGGACCTGGCAAGGTCTCCAGGCTGGACTTGGGAACAGTCTGTGCCTCATCTTTGGCACCTGGACTTGGATTGGAAGATCTTTTGATCACTGAGAACGCGATTGTCATTGCGGGCATTTCTCTTGTTACGTATTTGCCCAAGGTAAAGCAAGAGCCGGCGATTAAGGAATACGCTTTGAATACAGCGGGGACGTGTTAATTATTGTGGGACAGCACTGTCAGCAATTGATTCAATCGAATGGTCTTATCATCATTGGCCATACTTGTCGTGCTCCTTGTATTCCGAGCTTCTTCGGTTCCAGATCTCATCTACGACAGAGTGCTATCCAAAAGATAATTACAATTGAGCGACCAAAATGTTAATAAAATGAAGCTCCCAGGTATCATGTTAAAATTAATCAGTTGTCAATCTGACAAAAAGTAATTCGCGTGCCTCCACACCGGATTGAACGATGGACCTTTGCATTACAAGTGCAACGCTCTACCACTGAGCTATAGAGGCGGCTACCTTTTAGTTATCAACACCATATTCAACTTAATCCTATGTCGATCAAGCTCTGCTTAGCAGGATCTACATTAATAACCAGTGTGTTGAGTTACATTTTTCATCATTTCACATCGAGGGCGCTTTGCAACAACTCACAAACGAATCTTTCCGTCTCTCTCAATTGACTATTCAGTTAGCAGCTGCGCTTACTCCACCAGAATGATCCATGACTGAATGGTCTCTAGTGGCATCTCCCAGTAAAGCCACCAGATCAATTTTCAGATTCTACACAGAAGTGAAAAGGTTCAAGAGGAACTTCTCTGCCCATACACTCCACGTCATACTCATGTCCTCGAATATCCTCCAACAGCCACCCGATGGACGTCGCATACGAGATGTGATGAATGCCTGTGTTGCCGCCCTGGTCACCGCCCTGAGCACCATACGTCAGCATCGCCGCGACACGGCCATCATTTCCCATGATACTGGCCCCCGGGTCTCCCTGGCAAGAGAAGTACTTCCTGCGTCCATATTTTATGCGGCCCAGGAAACACCATTCTTCGGAATTCATCGGGATGCCTCCAACAAATCTCCGGATGACGGATCTGGCTGTATTGGTGATACCGTAGCTTTCTCCACTTCCGCTACCATACATGCATACTCTCATGTAATCCTCGTCGATTGTAGTTCTTCCTGGCAACGCGGACTCATAGTCGAGGCATCTCATTTCGGCTTCTGACATGACGCCAGTCCGCGTGAATGTAGGAATCCCGGGAACGGAACAGCGTCTTCGCTTCAACTCCTTACGTAAATCCCACCACAACATGTCCATCATGTTTATGCGACCAGTATTGACAGATGAGATGGTTCGCCAGGGTTCAGTTTTTTCCAACATCCCTAACGGTGTTTGGTGCTTGTTCTGATGCAGCTCGATTATAGCCCAGTCCCTGAAAAGTGCCGGCGAAGAACTGCTTAGCCCAAACTTTGGTGAAAGGAGTACGTAGCCCATAAGTTCGTGACTCCATTGACTCGAAAGGTTTATATCGCTGTAGCCTTCTCTCTTGATTGGCCTTCAAAATGCATTGGTGTTCGAGCTGTTTCTCGGTGGGTGACTTATAGCATCAGAGCGAAGGGTTTATCCAGCTGATGGCTTCGTGTAGATTTTCCTTCGTGTCTTGATACGTCCTGTGCCCAGGTTGAAGAACACTTCGGGTGTTATTAGTGTCGCGACAGGAGTCGACGTTCTCTTCCTCATGTCCGAAGATGACATGTCGACAGGTCAAAGCAACAACGGTTTCGGTATTTCGGACCCGCAAGTATAGACCTTTGGTGCCTTCAGGAGTTGGAAATTGAGAGGAGGCAATCTTGGTCTCTTGGAACTCAGAGAGTTGGATATTGTGCCTTCCGAAGCTCTCCTCCTTATGAGTCGGAATACGCGGCTTAAGTTTGGCTGTTGAACGATCGCTTGTCTTGTATTAGCATAAGGTTTACTTGGGGGTCATGGTTCTTACCTTTCTGTTTGGTCTTGATCACTCGAGCAACATTGCGTGATTCTAGACTCTTTGATTTCGACTTTGACATCGTGAATGCCGTGCTCCCGCAGAACGTGGCGGCATTTGAGGGCTACCGCTCTTCCGTTCATCCATGTTATCGATCTACGCTCTACTGATACGAAAGGTATGACGGGTCGAACAGGTGACAATGACCCAAAGATGTGGAACCGCATCGGAGGATGTCGATGGCGTTCCAGTCGACACCCTTCACAGCTTCAAGAATCTTGCGACGCAGTGGGCCTGCAGAGTCATTCCACAGCGGAACAACAGCATGCTTTTCAACAGGATCAAGTAACTTTTCGTAGACTTCATTGTCGTATACCGTGGTAGATCGCCCAACAAGAGTTGGACAGTCTGGAAGGCCGGTGTAGTAGCCGCAGGATTCCTTTCTACCCGGGGGAACGGTGGGTGGTTCGGCCATATTTCGTGAGGTTGGTGATTAAAGTTGTGTGAGGATGAATGATGACAGGAAAAGAAAGGATGGAAGAAGGATGGTTATTCAGAAAACCTGTGGGGGCTTGTGTAACTGAAAAGGGTCGTGTTAATTCCACTACATGTTTGTTCTGTTGACTGTGAATCACTGGTCTCGCCTTGGTCACAAGATGCTCAAACGAGTTGCACTGCCACAACGTGAGAAACACCCATGTTTATGGCCCACGCTTCTACAAGCAGTCCCAATGGATCAACAGGAGCGACAGAATACGCATAATACAAATGAGTACAACTGAGTTTGACTGCCGCTGAAGCAATAGTGTCTATTCAAGTACTTGTTCGCCAGCAGCTTAAATTTGCGGCAGCTAAACCAGGTCACGGTAAGCATGCTATCCTAAGTACAGCCCCTGCGTTGACGCTTCCGGGTCAAATTTGCCAGTACCTGTAGGTAGTTGCGAGCAAATAATTATGACTGGATACTGACATCTGAGAACTCAACACGTCTTGTTTGCTTGTATTGCCACATCCTTAGAACATGGTCGCTAGTTTCGAGACCGAACAGTCAGCGATTACAAGGATCGATAGCTCAGTGGTACGAGCGAGGGATTGCAGATCCCTAGGTCGCGTGTTCGATCCACGCTCGGTCCTATCATTCATTTTTTTGCGAACTTGAACAAGTAGACTTAGTTTTGAGCCCATTTCCGATTTTTGCCATGAGTTCTCATATCGGTGGCCATTCTGTACATAGCTGTTTCTGTGTTGACCAATATGGGAGCTTACCCGATCTCTAACAAGGCTGAATGCTAAACAAAGGGTCTAGCTTGTACACATTTCATCAACGCTGCTCAACCAATTTGGCAGAGTCCAGCCAACTTCCTCATACTTGATTTAAAGCTGGCCATTTCTTGTAATTCCTGATCCCGATCTTCTTAATCTTGGATGCAAATGGTGACTGAAATCATGAAGCAAATGGGAGGCTATGAGCCTCTGTTCGGGATGCATGATCATAATTAAAAACACGCTCGACAACAAACAACGGGGGGCTGGCGCAACGGTAGCGCGTTAGATTCCAGCGATGCAACTTCAAGTTCCTCTTGAGATAATCGTGACTCCTAAAGGTTATCAGTTCAAATCTGGTGTCCCTCATTTTTGTCTATCCGCACTTTTTTTTCATATCAGGGTAAGGCTCCACCTGATTGTTGACTCCACTTACATTTTGCGGATGAGGGCTTGGTCCGTTGAGAAGATGGCAGTGTATTGTTCTGTGTCGATCAAGGCTCAAGGCACAGAAAGAGTCTGATCAGTCACGAAGGAGACGAGTGAGTCTTGGACCAGTGATGAAGGGTAGAAATTGCTTCAGTTCATGTTCAGGATTTCTAAGTGAAAGTGTCTATGTACGTCTAAAAAGAATAGGGCAAGTCTAACAAAGAATTAAACAAATAGTTAAAGAACGTTTCAAGAAACCTCCACATCAATATCAACCTTGTATGCGGAACCCTCACTCTTCTCTTCCGTAATGATATCATGAGCAATCTTCTCGGCCAACGCATATACGGTACCGACAGGGTGACCAGGAATGAGAAGAGGGAAAGCAGAGGCATCGACAACCCGCAGTCCCTTGACACCGTATACACGAGCCTTAGAGTCAAGAACAGCCATCTCATCATCCTTTTTGCCCATCTTGCAAGTACAAGCAGCGTGCCAAACAGTCATGAGTGTATCACGAAGAACAGCAAGAATCTGTTCATCTGTTTCGTGCTGCTCACCAGGATACACCTCCTTCAGCACGGTGTCCTTCAGAGGGGTGGACTTGGCGATTTCTCGAAGGCGACGGAACAGAGCGATGGCAACTTCTTGGTCGGCCTTCTTGGTGAGGAAGTTGGGGTTGATGAGAGGAGCGTCGGTGGTCGAGTTTGTTCGAAGAGTGATGTTGCCGCGGGATAGAGGTGCGACCAAGGCGCCGTTAAGACTGGTGTACTTCTTTCCATCGGTGGGCTGCTGCAGGATAGGGAATGACCAGTCCTCAGAGTAGACGTTAAGAGGAATGATCTCCATCTCAGGCCAGTCATCAGGGAAAGTCGCAAGGTCCTTGATAGTCTCAGCGGAGAACTTCGATCGGTACTTCTCAGGAGCCTTCTCCCAACCCAAGAGCTCGACCTGGTTGGATGTCAGAGGACCAGCTTGTTGCTGAGCATAAGCATCAAGCGCGCCTTGGAAAACAGTGTCGTTGTTGATCGCAGCGCTGAGGGTGTCCTCGAGACCTTGCACTTCAAATGAAGGTCCGAAGAGGACATGATCCCAGAGGTTCTGGCCAACTCCAGGAAGATCGGCAACTACAGGAATGTCAAGCTCTTCCAGATGCTGCTTGGGTCCAACACCAGAAACCATCAGAACCTGGGGTGACTGGAAAGCTCCACCACTGACGATGACCTCCTTCTTAGCCTTGAGAGTGTAATCAATACCAACAGAGCTGACCTCAACACCGGTAGCCTTCTTGTCATCGTCGAAGGTCACCTTCTTGGCAAGGCTCTCAGTGTACACCTTGAGTGTCTTGAGCTTCTCACTTCTCGCGGTCTTCACAAAATCATCGGAAGCACTTCGGGTAGCGGTCTTGGGTTGAACTGTTGTTGTCGTGTATGAGTAGCCGAGAAGACTACCGCTGCTGAAACCATCTATACCCTTGAAACCAAGGGACTTGAGTCCCTTCTCCACGAGAACAGCCCAGGAGGGGACGTAGTTGGCGTAACTGATTTGGAGAGGGCCCTTCTCTTTGGAGAATGCGGAAGCGTCGTAGTCAGTTGTCACGTTGCGCTTCTCATTGTCCGGTGGTGTGAAGGAGGGGCTCTTCTGGAAGTGAGGCAACATTTGCTCCCATCTGGTTTTATTGTTAGTGATATTCTGACTACGTTTTCGGGTTGTCACTCACGTATAGCTATCATCTCCGACATCCTCAGCCCACTTGGCCATAGTACCGTTCGTTGGTCGGTGGTAAACCAGAAAGTTGAGCTGAGATGAGCCACCAAGAACCTTTCCACGAGCATAGTGAATCTCGCGATCATCAGCACCTGTCTGCGCCGTAGTCGTGAATCTCCAATCGCGAAGAGGGTTAGAGTCCAGAAGACTTGCGCCACTGCCGGCCGTCACTCCACCAGGCGATGTCGCGAGAATAGGCTTGGAGATCTCGAGGAAAGGGCCAGCTTCAACAATAGCAACACTGTAGCCAGCCTTTGCAAGTCTGTAACCGATGGTGTTTCCCGCTGTGCCTCCTCCTACGACAACATAGTCGTACTCGGCATCGACACCAGGAATGCCACCCAGTTCGCCAAGATGTCCGACCTTGAGTCCATCACCAGCATAAGCGGACTTGACGATATGCTGCAAAGGGTCGAGAAGTGTACTGATGAAAGGAATCTCTGGACGGGCAGTGACACTGGTTGAAAGGCTGAGCGCCAAGAGCGAAGGTGACAAGACGTTGCAGCGCATGGTGACAGACGATCTGGGCAAGAAAGTTTGTGTGCAGATCTCAGAAACAAGGAGGGATTGATGCTGCTCTTATATCTACTTGGACTAGGGTTTACTAGTTGCCTGTCAAAAACATCAAGCATTTACCTAGCAGCCCAATGTCATATCACCGCGGACGTTACACCGTCCCGCAATCATTTTTGGTACTAAAACCCGTGCTGACCCGCGGCGTTGACGCTACTTCTCAACTAAAGTGAAGGATCTGAATAAAGTCGGAGGGTTTCTGAGTCAGCGGTGATAAGAAGACGAGATAAATGTCTCAGCTCAGGGTCCTAGAATATGCGGTGATGGACCAGGGTATTTGTCATGTCAATGCGTAAAAGGAGGGTCGGGAAGCTGCCACAACAGGTAACGGACTGCAATAAATTCACAATAGTTAAAGATAGTCAGAATTAAAGAGCACTAATGGAGAATGGAACACGTTTTGGTCAAACTAAGCTTGATATCCGGTCCTTTAGAGTTTCAACAAAGTGGGCGAGGAGTCCACTAGAAGCTATGCAAGCAACGTTTTTGAGCAATAACAAGGGTGCATGTTCCAGCTCGACCTTGGCACGTCGAATTAAATTGTCTAGTCATGAGCCTTATGCAGCGGCAGAGCCCGTCTCGTTCAGCTTGCATATATTACTCGGGCTAAGGGTCTGGGATCGTTCCTCGTCGTTCCACTGATCACCAGTGATTGCAAAGCACAGACTGCAGATCCCTTCTCTGAAGAATCACCATGCATTGTGATAAACCCATCAGTTCACGTGCGGTAAATCATATGTGCGTGCGTAACCGTTCATCCGGTTTTTTCAAGATTGTTGATTTCATATTCGGAGACTTACATGTCATATGATGGATTGATAGGATCAGTCAGTATGTTGTAAAACCCCGGTTTATGCGCTGAGGATCCGGAACCGCACTGCCAAATGCCGTAACGCCGATCCTCCTTGGCAGAACGACCACTAAGCCTGAAGGGTTCGTCTTGCGAGGAGGAAATCCAGTTTTTGAGGGCCTTCCGGGCTCTTCCCCGTTGCCGAACCCGTCTGCCGTGTGGGTTCCTCGGGAGTCAAATGTCGGGGAACAAAAAGGTGTGCCGTCTGAGCGAGTCATGTATGCAGTCTCGACTATTATCACTTCTCATCACAATTACCACGTTGGCGCTTTAGGGCGCATTTGACAGTTCGTAAGATGTAATGACCGCGATTTGATAGATAACGCCAGAAGGGGACCAACGGCTTGGTTCTGCAATGAACGCCACTCAGCGGATCTAGCTATTTCAAGGCATAAGCTATATGTCCCGTGATTTCGGGTAACCTACAGAAAGACCATCACCTACGGAGCTCCAAGAGATGGCATCTTGAAATGAATTTAGTCAATAAGCGGTGATCGATTCATCTCTTCGGCGAATAACAAACCAGCATCATATCCAAAGTAATCGGGTCTCAATACCCAAATGGCAATTTCTTACTCATATAATGAGAACAACACGATTCTTATGCCTTCTCTGGTACTGGTTACCTGCGTCAAGTCTTTCGACTTCACAGCATTCTGCTATTTGGCATGAAGTTGGCAGCTCGACAAACTTTGACAGTTTGGAGTCAATGCCGATACTCCACGACCTGAATCCACTGGAGATGAATATGTTCCTGAAGACAATTTTCGGAGCCAGAATAAAATATGCATGAAGCTAATATCGGGTCCATGTTAAAAGGGGTTCCGGGGTAGCACGTTTTAAGTATATTAATAGCTCAATATCGCATGTTTTATAACCTTATGGTTTCAATATTATAATTCAGCAGAGTATACCCTATAGAAGAATAGCATAGCAGCCTGACAAAGTATAGCTAACTGAACTCTATTTAATTCGTCTTGCTAATATTTGCACACTTGTTCAACATTGACCTCCCAAAGGATGTTATTGACAAATGTCATCCTGGGCATGCTCTCAATCAATTTCATGCTGGGGCATCATTCCGATCACTCAGTAGAATCTGGCGGGGAATGAACAGATGCTTCAATAGCATCAAATCTGCACGAAATGTCCTACCACTTCTTCCTGATTCCAACACAATTCCCTCAAGCTGATGATAAATAAGAACCCGTTTCTGAGGTTACATTCGACTTTTTCTTTTTTCTTTTCAGAGCGAGAGAGCAATTGCTGGACTGCAACTACATATCTTATGCGAATAACAACAACGAATGAGAATACAATCCCGTCGGAGACAAGGATCTTGCTCAGGGATCATCCGTCGAGTTTTCGGTCTTCATGCCTATTCGCCGTCCAAGTCACGTTCTCGATATCTCCGCTCGTCAACAACTGACCCTTTTCCGAAGCACGAGTCGTGGGCTCGGGTATCGGCACAATAATTTGTTCAACCATTTACTCAGTCAAATAAGGACGCGTATGGCCTGCCTCTATCGTGATACATCACATTATAAGCCATTAGCTATATCATCTGTGAGATAAGTTCGCGCCTACAAGAACAGCTGTGAGATTATGTCGGATAATGCCAAGAAATGTATTTGCTCGGTGTACAGAAGTGAAGACCGTTCGTGGAGTTCCCCCTCATGCCAACGGATTTATCGCGGGCTTACGACAACGCCGGTCACATTTCCGTGTCGAGATCATCGAGCCCATTGGTTGATTGAGATCTACGGCAATCAAGGCATAATGGACATAAAATGATTTCGAAGTAAACAGAGAAGATCCGCGATAGAAAGTAGTTACCTAATTCGGGATAATTTTGAGCATTGAACAACCGACCAGGTCACTGGAGACAGACTATCGTTACTAGGAAACAGCTGTTCAACGTCTCGTTATGGCGCCGAAGAAACCCATCGTTCTCCGCATAGGAGAGGACATCAAGTATAATCATGACTTTTATAACAATGTCTTTACTAAGAGGTTTGACGTGGTCGCGAACGAAGAACCTGATAGAGAGTCCTTTATCAGAGCACTAAAAGAGAACAAGTGAGTCTTTCAGAGTGCCCATGGTTCGCGGTCTGAGCAAATGCTAATACGCTGTCAGATATGGCCAGTTCTCGGCGTTATATCGTCCACATTTCCAAACTGGTGGTGAGATGGGCCAATGGGATGAAGAACTCATATCACTTCTGCCACCCTCAGTCCGGATCTTTGCGTCAGCTGGTGCAGGCTTCAACTGGGCTGATGTCGATGCCCTCGGTCGTCGCCGCATCTGGTACGCCAATGGTGCGGGCGCCAGTGATGAAGCCGTATCCGATACTGCTCTGTTCATGATCCTATCGGTATTCCGAAACTTCTGGCTTTCACAGCGTGGTGCACGTACTTGTGACCCATCAGAGTTCCAGAGGATGCACAAACTCATCGCAACCATCTCTTATAATCCTCGAGGTCATGTCCTCGGAATCGTCGGTCTTGGTAACATCAGCAAACTAGTGGCTCGCAAAGCAGGTTTGGCTCTAGGCATGAAGATCCACTATTACGATGTGGTTCGCTCGTCTCCAGAAGTCGAGGAAGAGCTGCAAGCGACATATCATTCATCTCTCCACGAGCTACTGGGTATTGCGGATTGCATCACTCTACATACCCCGCTCAACGCTCATACTCAAGACCTCATCAACAAAGAAGCATTTGCGGCAATGAAGGATGGTGCAAGACTCGTTAACACAGCAAGAGGGCAGATCGTTAATGAAGATGCGTTGATTGGAGCCCTGAAAAGTGGCAAGATCTCGGCTGCTGGTCTAGATGTTCATTACCACGAACCTCAGGTATCGAAAGAACTTGCAGCTATGGATAACGTCACGCTAACTTGTCACAATGGAGGAGCGGCTATTACGACGAGAATTAATTTTGAGCTAATGGCCATGGAAAATATTCTGAGAGTAGTGGATGAGAATGGGGAGTTTTGTGGCAAGCCGACTACGGCAGTGAACCGCAAGGCCTTTGAACAGGCTTCTTCGTAAGCTTGTTTAGATAATACAAGCATCCCAATCATACGTTTCTCGATCGCTGCTGTTTATATATCATTGAGATGCCTACTCTTCCTTATGTAGCTGTCTGTATACGCAAATCCGAATCAGCTGACCAAGGCCATCAAAGTTCCCCTGTCTAGAACGACGAACATCGCAAGGCATTCCGATACAGCTCTCCCATAGCCTTGGATTGGCCTCGAACCACTATTATCAAGACTACTGTGGACGCAAGGGAGTGGTAGTGGGCATATTCTCGGAAGCATACAGCCCTTCCTGCCCGGACATCAATCCGTCTAGCAACCTGGACTTCTGTTCGATGAATCGGTCATCCGTCCGACTGGCGGATCAACTACTATAACCGAGCTTGTAACCATGTCGAGAAAGGATCAGCTCATGGGCATGGTTATCCGCTACCCCAGGTTTACCCCAGGTCTACCCCGCAGAGACAAGAGCTTCGACCCAAGGCGACGGGTTCTGTTGCGAGGATATATAAGTGACTGAGGGCTGATCATCAAATCGCGCTTCGTCTGGTCATAGCTCCTTCATCACCTTGATCGGTGAGCTTTTAAAGATGTTCAAGACAGTGACCGAGTTCTTCAGGCCAAAGGCCACCAGAACCTTGCATTATGCTCATCTCAAAAACAACACACATCCAACGTGGTACAAGGACTCCGGCCTGCGTAAGAATGTGTGGCACTGCGTCGGCTTCTACTTCGCGGTGTTCTACCTTGGCTTCGACGCCTCCCTCATGAACGGTCTCCAAGCGATCCCCCAATGGGAAGAATACTTCAACTATCCATCTGGAAACACGCTGGGTCTGATCTCGGCCAGTCTGTTTCTCCCAGCGATCGTCACTCCCTTCGCAGCGTCGTGGATCAACGGACTTTGGGGAAGGAAGTGGTGTTTGGCTGTCGGCTCAGTCTTGCTGATCCTCGGTGCATTCCTTAACGCTTTCGCGAAGAATATTGGAACATTTATTGGTGGTAGAGTCATTATCGGTGCGGCTGGACCTTTCGGAAAGATCACCGGTATTGCACTGCTTCAGGAACTGGCGCATCCTCGTCTGAGACCATATGTTGCGACCGCGTATTACAGCAACTATTATGTCGGCCAAATTGTCGCTGCGTGGTTTTGCTATGGCACACTGTCTTGGCCAGATACCGAGTGGAGATGGCGAGCACCCTGCCTGTTCCAAGCCTTTGCTCCAGCCGTTGTCCTTGTTCACCTTCTTTTTGTACCCGAAAGCCCTCGATGGCTCATCGACCACGACCGATCCGAAGAAGCCCTCAAAGTTCTTGCCGACGAACATGCCAACGGCGATCTCAACGACGAGTTGGTTCGATACGAATTTGATGAAATTTGTCAAGCTCTCCAGTTGGAGAAGGAGAACAATAACTCAAAGTACAGCGATTTCCTCAAGACTCCCGGTAATCGGCGTCGACTCCTTGTTCTTGTGACTATGGGCACGGGTTCCAACTGGGTTGGCAATGGTATCATCGCTTATTACCTGTCACCAGCCCTCAAGCTCGTTGGCATCACTTCATCCAGCGCGATCGCGGGCATCAACGGTGGCATGGCGATCTGGTCTCTTATTTGGGCTTATGCAGGAGCCATGAGTGCTGAGCGTCTTGGTAGACGCACGCTTTGGATCACAGGCACGGCTGGTATGTGTGTCGCTTATACAATCATCACTGGCCTTAGCGGTTCCTTTGCTGAGAACCCATCACATGGCGTCGGTATCGCTGTGGTGCCGATGATGTACCTCTTCAAAACTTTCTACTGCATCAGTTGGTCGCCACTACCGTTTGCTTATGGCGCTGAGATTCTGCCTTATAATCTGAGGCTGAAGGGTTTGAGTATTGAACTAAGTGTTCAGAGTGTTGCGCTGGCTTTCAACCAATGGGTAAACCCTGTTGCACTTGAGGCAATTGCATGGAAATAGTAAGTCGTTTGAGAAGACCTCTATAGAAGTATTACTAACCTGAGATAGCTACATCGTCTACATTGCGGTCATTGCCATGTATCTTGTTCTTATCCTATTCTTCTTCCCTGAGACAAGGTATGTTTCTATTTACCGGTGCGCTTGGCCTTCCGCTGACAGCTGCAGAAACATGACTATCGAAGAGGTTTCTGTCCTCTTTGACACAGGCCGAAAGGGCGATGCGGCGGCAGCTACTAGCAAGTTTCACAATAACCAGTCGAAGATGGACGATATGCTTGATGATGGAGATGATGCCGACAAAGAGCCTACTGTTTCGCGGATAGAGAGAGCTTAAGCGGGTTGGCGAAAGCCGTCATAAATAACGAGAAGAATGAATATTGATAGCACATGGCAGAGTCACCTTGCTTCCACCCCGATAAGCATCATTCACTTTGATCATTAATAGTATATGATATGATATCACAACGTCTCCGGGGTTGGTGGCTGTCCAGTCAATCCATCTGCTAGAAATTCTTCAGGATTAAATCATTGGTCGTTTATAACATGGGCAGGGTAGCAATAGGTAGCCTTAAGTAAGTGACGATCATGTTAGCTTCAGGCGGCACAGTTGCAGTTGGTGATCAAATATGGGGAGGTTGGGGATAACTATGGGAATAACTCAATAGCGACGATCAGAAACAAAACTCGTCACAAAACAGTAATACTTGATCAATCCGATCAAGGTCATGACCTACCCCTCAACTTATATCAGTGTCATAGTATTGCACTTAGCATCAAACGCTATTGTCCACGCGATCAATCGTTTCGTCATCAAGCATACAAAATAAGCTTCCCCAACCATAACCCCTGTCAAATAAGCTGCAAGGCCCTCAATCCGCCATTCCCGTGTGAATCTCTAAGCGAGCCAAGATAACGACTCTCGTATAATGCTGCAAGCGTGGTCCAGTTGGTGGCACACTTTGCGGTGGTCACCGGCATTGATGTTTTGCCGGAATGGAAAGACACCAATGAGCTTACACCACGAGATCTTACTTGCATCAAATGGCTTACCGACCTGGATTACGTTCTTATGAGGGTTGTTAAGATGATGTCAGGGGAAGGCGATGGCGATTGTTGGCGAGGCTATTTATTTGGCTGATGTTCTCATTCGACGCCACTTTCTGGGTTCCCGAGGCTCTATCGTGTAGTCAAGATCTCGACACCATCTTACAGCCCAGCTGACTCCAGCCTTATTCGAAATGCTATCTCCGATTTGGAATGCGCTCACCTTGTTGACGGTGCTTATGGCAACGTTCATTTCACCAGCCGCTGCCCTTCCCAACATCCGCGTTCTGCCATTAGGCGATTCCATTACAAAAGGCACCGGCTCAACGGGTTTAGTTGGATACCGCCTTCCATTGCGACAAAAGATCCTAAAGCAAGGCGTCAAAGTCAATATGGTTGGGACTTTAAAGAACGGTAATATGGTTGATGGACATCACGAAGGTCATAGTGGGAAAATGCTGGCCGACATCAACGGCTACTGGCAAAAGCCAATCCAAGCCCGGCCTAACGTCGTTCTCATCCACGCCGGCACCAACAACATGGACCAAGGAAAGGATCTGGACATTGCGGCATCCATTCTAGCAGATATCGTCGACGGGATCTTCAAAGTCGCACCAGATGTCACAATCTGTCTCGCGCCAGTGATTTGGGCCAACGATAAGAAGATGCAAGCAAATACAGACAAATTCAATCCTCAAGTTCGATCACTTATTTCAGCAAGGCAAAAGAAGAGAAAGCATATTCTTGAGGTACCTATTGATATCAAAAAGGAGGATCTTGGTGATTCGAAGCACCCGAACGATGATGGTTATGACAAGATGGCAAATGCTTGGTTGAAGGCGATTTTAGAGGCTGATAAGAAGGGTTGGTTGAAGATGCCCATCAAGATGAGCCCTGAAGATGCGCCAGGAACTGGGCTTGGAGCGTGAAATATGATGACAATTAATGTAGCGCAATACCATAGTGATGACTGCATAATAAACATGCTTATTTCAAGCCATGGCTTGATCTGTACGGTATACGAAAATGGACACTGTTCTCCCATGAAAGTGGGCTATTATTGGTTCTGCGGAGTGGCTTGTGCTTGGCTGCGGAGCGGAGGGTCAGATAAATCCGGAGTTTAGCGTAGAAGCATAAACTCCGAAATTGTTATCACCAGACATGGCGTCAGCATCAGTTACATAAAGACACGACCCACCGACAAATTCATCACTCAGTCAATCACCTCAATCACCTCAAATCTAACTAAACACCATGGCAGCAAAGTCTCTCGTCGTCGGCGGAACAGGCGGTATCGGCTACGGCATCGCCTGTCGCATCGCCGCCAGCTCCCCCTCATCAACCGTCATCATCAGCGGTCGCAATGAGCCAAAGAACATTCCCCATTCCAACATTCAGTTCAAGCAATTAGACGCGTCTTCAATGCGCGCTATCAAAACTTACACCGATGAACTGAAGGCATCGCAAGATCGGTTCAGCACCCTTGTTCTCTCGCAGGGCATTCTCTCAACCGCTGGAAGAACAGAGACGCCTGAAGGCATTGACCGCAAGATGGCGCTCCATTACTACGGACGACAGCTACTCATCCGTGAACTTCTTCCGTCTCTTACAGACGACGCCAAGGTTTTGATTGTGCTGGATAGCACTGGTGGAAGTCCCGATAAACTCAATTGGGATGATCTAGATCTCAAGAACAACTTCAGCCTCGGAAACGCAGCAGCCCACTGTCTCTCCATGACAGACGCTATGATCCAGCACTATGCAGCCGAGCAGAAAGCTGAGGGAAAGAACCGACATTTCATTCACGCGCTACCCGGTATTGTCAACACAAACATCATGAATTCGCTCCCTTGGTATATGCGTCTCCCTTCAACTGGTCTAGCCTCTGTCTTGGGTGTATCGCCTGACACTTGTGCTGAGTATATGCTGAATGGTGTTGATGAAGCTGTGAAGATTAAGGACAAGAATTACGCGTTTGTGAGTCGGAAGGGAAAGGTTTTTGAGAAGCCGGCTTGGAGCGAAGAACAGATCCGGAAAGTGAGGGATCATACTTGGGAACTTGTCGATGGCGCATTGGCGAAGGCTTGATTATGACAACAGCGGTTTTGTGAGTTGTCTCCGTGTATTTTCATTTGTATTATAGGTTCATACCAACTTGAACGACATGTGTTTATGATCCAGCGCAAAGGTAGCTGCTCCAGACTCGATAAATGAGAAGCAAACGGTTAATGATGGGAAAATGGTAAGCTACGCTTCCTGGAGAAAGATACGGATGGATACGTGTTGGTCACTCCAAGGACAAAAAAAGAAATGGGATGTGATAACATCAGATCAAATAACTTGCCCCGTACTGGAATCGAACCAGTGATCTTATCATTTCGTGGTAATTTACTAGTGATACGCTTTACCACTGAGCCAACGGGGCTTTATGTTATTGGTTGAGATCCACCTCCCCAGGGACAGCTCATGGGTGCGACACCACTGCATGCAACGTAATTCTCCATCCAGGTTCATTGCTACTGTCCTAATTTGCTCCAATTAGATTGATAAAATCATCAATAAGACGTCGTTATACCCGATATCATCTAATCTTGGTATTCAAGATGTAAGCTGTGATTAGATCCCGTTCTCATCAAGTCCATTGACGACATAGGGCTGTGTTTATGCATCCAATTCTTTTTCTCAAGGCTAGACACTGGCAAGTAAAACGTTTAAACTGTTCAAGAGATGCGCAGACTAGCTTATGCGGATCTATAGACCATCTCTTTATCCATTTGATATTGACACATGTACTCATGAGGGCGCTGTAGCCTAATTGCAAGTATTGTCTTTGTAGCCATAGGGTAGCTAGGACTGGAACAGCCTTCCATTACGCGTTGGCTAACTACGAGACAACGCGACTTGGTAATCTCGACCCAACGCATTAACAGAAGAGTCCTGGGTTCCAAATAGTCACCATCGTATAAGTTATAGTCTGTTGTTTTCCATCATCTGGACTATTTTCTGAGATGACTCTCGAATGAGCCCCACGTCGCCGTGCATCATCCAGATCGAGAGCTTGAGACATTAAAATCACAAGCAACACCTTCGGCAGACAGTGGAGCCAACTGCGGAATAATGGCTTGATCTCTGCAGATTGATACGCATCTTCCGCGAGATCCTTGCCTCGTCATCTTATCAATCAGTGCATCACCGACCTCGGATCACTTGCCAAGCCGGTTATCACGGCTCAGTCCATCATCCATTGGTTGTGAGAGACGAGCTTCCCTTTTAGATCATGGGCCCGCATCCAAGGGTCGTTTAGTCTGCAGATCCTGCTGTTAGAGCATTAACACAGAGACACGTAATCAAGGTGCTGGGATGTTTATCAATTATTATCGGGTGATCATCAACTTATCGCCAAAAATGCATCTGCACAAACATGAAAATTCTTGCAGGTCCATTGCCATCCATTGGACTAACCCTTGTACCAACCGTCACAACTCTTTGTCATAGCGTGGGGAGCACTCACCATCATCACCGGCTCAAGCACCAATTTTGCGCATCCGGGAAAACTTGCCCACGGAGCTTTTTCAGTAAGAACGGCGAGTAGAGAGCGACCTTTTATGCTTAATACCTCAGAGCCTCGTCTCCTCTTCCCTTTCCGCGATGTCTCCTCCCTCATCTCACGCATCGCCAGGGGAGCTACAACCACTGCTGCATAACATGGATATCGACAAGAAGAACCCCGATATAGAAGCTGGCAGGGAGTCGCCCACCATCGAACCAACACTCCCGACCAACAACGTTGATGCTAAGGCTGAGGATTACGAGAACCGAAATGTCGGTACTTTGAACCGCAGGCTCAAGTCTAGGCATGTTCAGTTCCTTGCTTTGTCTGGTGCCATTGGCACGGGCCTTTTTGTTGGTAGTGGTCAGGTCCTGTCACTTGCTGGGCCCCTCTCTGCGTTTTTGGCGTACACTATCACGGGCTTCAACATCTACTGTGTGTTGAATAGTGTTGGTGAGATGGCATCATGGCTACCAATTCCCGGCCCCGTCCCCATCTTTGCTGCCCGTTTCGTCGATCCTGCCCTTGGTTTCGCTCTTGCTTGGAACTATTGGTATCAGTTCGCTATTGGTGTTCCGATTGAGGTCACTGTCTCGGCTGTCATCGTCAATTACTGGCACCATAACATTCCCCAAGTCGCATTGATCACACTCTTCTACTTTACCATGGTCATTCTCAACTGCCTACCTGTTCGGATATACGGAGAAGCCGAGTTTGTCTTCGGAGCTATCAAGCTATTGACCATCGTCGGTCTCATCATCCTCATGTTCATCATCACTGTCGGCGGCGCTCCAAATGGCGAGGCAATCGGCTTCCGATATTGGAACCACCCCGGCCCCATGAATGAGTACCTCAAAGATGGTGCTCTCGGCCGATTCCTCGCCTTTGTCAAGGTGTTCATCACTGCAACGTTCTCCTACGGTGGTAGCGAAATGGTCGTCATGGCATCCGGCGAGACTGAGAACCCTCGTCGCAACATTCCCAAGGCCATCCGCCGTGTCTTTTGGAGAATCGCCATCTTCTATGTCCTATCCATCTTCCTCGTCGGTCTTTGCGTCTCATCCAAAGACCCCAACCTTCTCAACGCCATCAACAAGTCTGCCCCCGGCGCCGCTCAAAGCCCTTTCGTCATCGCCATCCGCAACGGCGGCATCAAGATTCTTCCCTCCATCATCAACGCTGTCATCCTCACGTCGGCCTGGTCGTCCGGCAACTCTCTCTTCTACGCCGCAACCCGAGTTCTCTACGCCGCTGCCCTTGATGGCAAAGCACCCCGCATTCTGACCTGGGAGAGATTCGGTGTTCCCTATCTCTGTGTTGGCGTCACCACTATCTTCGGGCTTTTGGTGTACCTCAACGTGAGCAACAGCGGCTCAGAGGTTTTTTTCTGGTTCAGCAACCTTAGCGGTGTCGGAGCTCTCATCATCTGGGCCAGTGTTTCCTTCACCTACCTCCGCTTCTACTACTGCCTCAGCCACCATGGCATCGACCGAAATACTCTACCATTCAAATCACCTTTTCAACCCTTCCTGGCTTACTTCTCTTTCTGCTTCTGTACCATCGTTGCAGTATTCAATGGTTTTGATGCCTTCTTCCCAGGACGTTTTAGTGCAAAGACTTTCCTGCCCCCATACATCAACATCCCCATCTTCCTTGTTTTGATCTTCGGATATAAATGGATCAAGAAGTCTAAGTATGTTAAGTACTCTGAGATGGATATATGGTCTGGCAAGGCGGAGATTGATCGCTTGGAACATACTTGGCCGATCGTCCAACCAAGAAACTGGCTTGAGCGCATCTGGTTCTGGATTGCTTGAGAGCCTCGTTATCAGTTATGAAAAATGGCGGTCGTTTGTTTGGTAGTAGTGCTCTGGATGCAAGAAAAGTTTAGACAAATGTTTATGTTTTATACCATGTCAACTTGAGCTATTACTTCGGCACGGAACAGGCTCGAGCACCAATCTTAGTACAGGATATTTTTAAAGCACCCAGTGTCTTCTCTATAGTGACGGCAACCCACAAATAGCCGGCCGAGCTTAAACTCCCTTGGAGATCTCCATACAACGACTGAAGCTGCCTCTTCTTCCCACCTCCTCGACATTCCCCGCCCATGGTAGTGTTCAGAGGCGCATCAATTTCTGAGCAGAGTGTGTGCGTTCCATGCAACCTTGGGTCCACCCGAGACGCGTGCGTAGTGATGCTCCTGAATAAGTGCCTTGACGTTCATAGCAACTGAACCAGGGACTTGAAGTCGAGGTCTCAAGGAGTCAAGCGATAGGAAGTAGGCTGCTAATCCAGCAACGGCGGGTGTAGCTATGGAGGTCAGTCGAGTTCTAGCTGGTAGGGGATCATCACTTACAGAAGGATGTTCCAGTTGACTCTTTACCAGCCTGGTAAGCTGATGCGCCACTCATAGCAGCGCACTTGACGTCGACTCCAGGTGCAGTGGTCGTGACGAGAGGACCGCCCTGGGAGAACGGAGCAAGGCGTCCGTTGTTATCAACAGCTCCAGTAACAATGATTGGAGTCCGGTTTGCGAAAAGCGATGGGTATGTGCTGACCTCAAACTGAGTCTGACTGATGTTAGTGTATGACTAAGAGCTAGTATTCTACTCATGAACTTACGCCAAAGTTTCCTGACGAGCTGACGACGACGACATCAAGAGCCTCAAGGTTCTTGAGGAGAGTCTCGAGTGCGTCTCGGAACCACCTTTCGTCACGATCGACACTCCAAGCGATAGCTGTTCCATTAACAGTGACCTTCGCCTGGGGCATGTGCTGGAAACTTACAAGCCTTTGAGTTGCTCACAACAGCCTTTCCTTGAAGTCTGTTCTGTTTCACATCCAAGACGACTGCTTGCCAAGCCTTGAGCAATGACCAAGAAGTCAATTGAAGTTTGACAGCAACGAGATCCGCTTTCGGCGCAACTCCAACCGTGCTGCCAAGTGCCTTGGATGCACAACAGGAACCATGACCGTCAGGGTCATTCTCACCAGAGGCGCCCTTGGAGAAGATCCACCTCTTCCTGCCAGGCGACGAGGTGAATTCCTGTGTTGAAGCTGGTCAGTCCTGTCCTTACATAGTCAATTTGAAGGCAGCTTACCTTGTGTCTGAGATTGAAACCTTCGTCAAGGACATAGATAGTGACGCCTTGGCCGGCTTTATCATCATAAACGTAGCCTGAAGGTTTCTTTCCCGGAGCAGTTGAGAACATTTGAAGCTCAGGCTGAGCCTTTTTGTCGGTCTTGAGAGCGCGTTTGGCAACACCGGATGATTTCGCCTTGGTCTTCAGTGGCGCATCAGGAGCAATTGACCCAACCTTGTTCAATATGTTAGCGGAGACTTTCCATGATAGACCCAGTACTTACAACACTGCTCTTATTGATAACTGAAACCTGGTTCGCGCTCAGCGTGGCATACCAAGCCAGAAGCTTGCCATTCACATCGGTGAGAGTGTCTACCTTGGTCTTGCCGGCCTGCGACTGAAGGCTTTTGGAGAGTGCTTCGACATCCTTCATGGCAGAATTGGCCTTGGGGTAAATAAGATAGTTTGCGGAGGCACTGACAGCCCGGCCCTTGATGATTGAGGAGTCAGAATTTGGCTCGAGGATCGCATCTCGCACTGCCACCTCTTTGTTTTTCACAGGAGATGCAGTAGCTGAAAAGACCAAGGCCAGGCCTATGAACTGTAAAAGAGTGAGTTTCATGTTATTGAGTAAAGAGCGTATTGTAAGGAGTCAATGTGAAATGAATGTGCTGTAGTTATTGATTGGGAAGACATCCTGATGGTATTATATAGATCTTCTGATCAGTAACTGCCGACATCAGATCTTGAATTCAATATCAACGCATAAACTGGTCGAGTTCCAGACTCATGAGATCCAGGAATAGAGTTGCCAACCACCATGGCGATTAGAGTTTTTGAGGCTATCCCAGCTGAAGTCGTCAGGCTTTCACTTGGGATCGACGTTTGGAAGCGCATTTACAGTTTATGATGGGATCCCTGCCTCTGATCTGGTTGGGTTGTGAAGATCCTCTGGCAAGATTTAAGGTTTCTCCTTAATATCGATCGAAACGTCTCAATCCACTGTTCCTATATCAAGGTTATAGCTAGTAAATAAGTTGCTTCTTAAAGCAGTTAGATCCTTGAATAATATTCATCCTACTACTTCGATCTGAGACTAGTTGTGGTTCAATATGTGATCAATGCATCTCTGGAAGCCTCGGGACTGGAGACACTGCTTCTAGAAGGTGGCATTCGTATGCCAACCACGAATGCCACCTGTTCTTGAAACGAAGCCTGAAATTGTCGGTCCGACACCAAAAAGAAGCTCTTCAAACCCCCCAGACTCCAGCAGTTACACTTTATTAGGGAGGATAACGGCAATTTCCGTATTTTGGTATGTTTTGAGATAGAATGGGAAACTGGTAAGACCCTGGACAAAAATTTGACTTGTCGCTCGTCAACAAAACCTCTTGCATTTGTCCGGATGTGAAGCAGTTTCTCCACCAATAACAAGTCCTGGCCTATGCTCAATAACTCTTTGCTATCGCTATCAGATCGAATGTGAGCGCTAAATGAAATCGTGCACTATGGTACAATGTTCCAATCCTGCAACTAAACATGCTTTCAGTCAGAGTAGTAACCACTGTTTCTGCTACTCTCAACATCCTTCTCGCCCTTCTCACTTTTCGCCTTCTTGACCAGCTTATCTCTCCAAGCCCGAACATCCTTCTGCACAACCCAACCCAACAAGACAATGGTAAGTGGCATAGCAACACACCAATAAACATAAAAAAGAGGTTCACCAGCTGCAAAGTCACCGTTCATAGACAAGATAGACGCCGCAACGGTGCAAGGCACAGCAACTGTCGCGATTTTTGCGAGCTGGCCAGAGCTTCGAGCTGTACGGTTAGCAGCGGCTGCTTGCTCGTTGGCAGCTTTTGTCTGCGTGTAGGAATCGTATGCTTGAATCCTGGTTGCGAATGCTTCGTCCATTGCTGCTCGTTGGGCGTACATGGTCATGTTGCCAGAGATAAGCTCGTCCAGAACCTTCATGTGATCTTGAAGATGGCTCCAGCGTCGTGACTCTTGTGATATTTGGATCCTCAGCCTCTCAATGGTCTGCGAGGCTAAGTAATGAGTATCATCACAACGAAATGCCTCATGAATCCGCCGGACTAGTACTGCCGCTTGTTGCAAAAGTTGACGCGAGTGTCGGAGTTTCTGGTAATCGGCAGCAATTGTTCGACTTCGCTCAATCAAAAGATTGGGGCTCTTGATGTCCAGTGCCTTTTGTGTTTCTACCAGTGAAGATGTCCATAACGTCTGGTTGAGATCCCAATTGGCGGTGATTTGGTCTTCCCATTTCCAGAAGACGAAGTTGCGAATGATGATAGTCGCTGAGAAAGGATCATCAGTGGTGATAATCTTCTCATTTTCGTATGCCTGGACGGCCACGTCCCATAGTGAGAGTTGATGTGGGTAAATATGTCGGTTAATTGAACTCTTTGACTCCGATATCACGTAACAGTTCGATTCTGATATCGCGATTTGACTCTCGTCGACCTTTTCTAGACCGTATGGACTTGGTATTACGGGATTTGGTTCATCTTCCGGAAGCAGGCAACCGTTGGGCACGTCCATTAAAACGAGCGCTAAGATCCAGGTCTCAGTCAGTCTACGTAGTCGGTGCCAGGACCAGAAACGTACCTATCCACCCATCTGGGGTGTATTTCCCCCAAAATGAAATACAAAGCGTCGTGTCAACGAGCGTAGTCTCCGAGTTCAGCACAAACTCACTGCCTCGAGGACAGCTTCCACTGTAAGGGCTAAAGCACCAGTTTCCAAATTCATCGGGCATCTCATTCCATATAACCGAAAGTTGCGACGGGGCCTTGATCTTCCAGTACGTAGAGTCCGCGGAGTCAAAGCCTGACGGGTTAATGAGCCTGAGCTGTGTTTCTGTGAGATAGTGGGCTGTCCAAAACTCATGAGGGATGCCAAGTTTGACACTCAGAGCCTCAGCTATCCTGGCGTCCATGCCTTCCATAAGTATCAAACTTCGCGGAGGGTTTTCAGAGGGCTTTTTCTCGAGTGCCTGTTCAATATCCAACCAAAGCTGCTGGGGGTCGTTACGACGGTCCAGACGAGGAGATTCGGATCTGACGTTTCCGTCGTCGAAATGAAAGACTCGTAGTTGTGATTCCCAGCCATGGTCACGATCTTGCCATGGGTGCAGTGCGTATGAGTACGATCCCAACCTGTCTTCCATATTATCTCGGTATTCCCGCATCTTGTTAACAGTTTCTTTAAGTTCAGGGATCTCTGGGATCCCATCTGCGACTTGAGTTAGATCATCTGTCAGTTAATATTTGCAAGTTTAATACCTTCAGCTGCTGCTGGAGCCATCAGCTTTTCAAGGTTGAACATGCTTTATGACAACGATCGGACGGAGGAAGTGAAAAGACTCATAAATGACCTATGATGAGGCCTTGCGACGTTTCTACTCGATTGGAACGGAAATATGCGAAGTTGTAGGAGAATAGAATATTGTCAGCTTTTAGGGAGAGTAAGCAGAGATAAATAAGCGCGGAGAGTCTGAAAAATAACAGGGGTGAGACCCCTGCTTTTGGACCTCGAGCTGAAAAGAAAGGATGGCGTTATCGGATTTGATTGGTCCGGATGCGACATTTATTTGTCGAGTTCCACTGTTTCAGGAGATAAGATCGTGATGAGAAACAAGGCTGCAGAAAGTACCAGAGGCCATGTTTAGAGCATTAATGAGCTTAGGATCATTCTAAGGACGAGACTCAAGTAAGTATAGGAGTATAAACCTTAATATGTCTTAGTATCAATTGACAAAATAAAGTATTGAAATACTCGACTTTCAATCTTCTTGTAGAAGTTGATGCGCCGAATTTCATCTAGTTTTGCCATGACGAAGAAATACAATTTCCCATGCGCTCTTTAGACAATTGTGAGTTTGTGTTTTGATCCTTCTTCATCTCTCGGTGACTATGCTTACTCTGAAGTATATATCATCCGTCATTGGCTGGCTTGATGTATCTCGTCGACATATCCCACCTCTGCTTGTTCTATTGATCACTTAATTATCTGCTATCACAATTTTTATCTTCTCTTTTCTTTAAAAAAAACTCCAGGCTGGCCAAAGAGTATCACATGAAGTCGTTTGACGATGGTGAGAGGTGGAATGTAAGACGGTGGACATTACAATAACCTTAATGTTGCATTCTCCGCGACCTGATGGGTTGCAAGTGAGGGGAAATACCACTCGAACAGTTACTAGAATTGATACAAAACATACTATTTGCTTTCCAGGATCGAAGGTTTACTGCAAAACCTTATGAGACCGAGTTGCATTGATCTATCTTGTTGAGCTATTGATAAGCTTTATAAAAAATTAAGTTAAAAAATTAAGTAACTTCTTGAATCACCTTGCCCTGAGCCCTAGCAGCGAAGAAGTGACCTCGATTCACAAGTATAAGAAAAGGTGTTTCCCCTCCTGGATTGGATCTTTAAAGTCGCCTTTTCCATGCAGTCTCTCCTCCAACCTCAGCCATGCATGTTCTCTCCTTGTTCATGGCCGCATTGGCGCCAGCGACTCTCATCAATGGCAGTCCCATTCTAGGGCATCATGAACAAAAGAACGCCTCCATTGATCACGGCAATATCGTATCGCATGTTCGCGTCAAGCGTGATGTTCCACTGACCGCTCGAGACATTGAAGAAGCTGATCAACACGGCGTAGATCTTAACAAGAGTCAGTCAACCCGAGACAAGCCGCACGTGAACTTTAACTGACCCTGAGCGTTTTTAGTGTACAAACACTCCATCCTGAAGCACTCTGATGGTAGTGATTACTCTATCTGGGTCCACAGCTCATTCAACCCTAATTTCCTTGCTGATGAAGAGAGTGGAAATGACGTCCCCGATCTGGGGAAGCGCTGGGACGGGTTTACCGGCGCGTACAACAGAATGCCCAAACAGTTTAAACTAGATGAAGATTCGAATACATGCTCATGGTCAGATTGGGTAAAGCGAACGGACAAACACTCGGCATTCGCGGGCGGAGCTGATGCCATTATCCAATGGACTCGGAAGAACCGGGGCGGCTGGAAGCTTGGCCCTGACGACGCTTACTACAGCAGCGATATTCTGGTAGGAGGCTCCAACACGGGCGCCAACATGAGATTCTCCGTTCGAAAGAGCCAGGGCCGTACTGTCATCCTGGGGACTAAAGATGTCGGCGACGTCACACGTGATGCTTTTCACAAATTCCGAAGGAAGATTAATGGTGTGTGGCGTATGGCTGGCAAGGGGAAGATGCGTTGCTGGACTGGGGATGATGGTGCTAGCTTGCTTTGGTGGGAGATTGACCGAAGTGATAGGGACGTCGAGGCCGAAAATCCTCGTCCACCAAAAAGTGATTCATACCAGCCAAAACCAAAGGAACAAGCCGCACCCTCACACTACCCGCAGACGGAACAGTACCAGGAGCCTAACCCCCAGCAGCAGCAAGAGTATCATAGCCCGCCACAACATTACTACCAGCCAGAACGCTATCCACAGACAGAGCACCACTATAATCCTCAGACAGTGTACTATTCCAATCCAGTAACACAGCCCAAGCCACCAAAATACCAACAACCATATTACCCCCCTGAGGTAGCGCCCCAGCCAAAGACAGTACATCACATACACCACATGGAGGCGACGCACCGACCAAGGCCAGTATCGCCACCAGTAAATCACGTATACGACCACAAGGTGACATACCGACCAAAACCAGCACCAACGCCACCACCACCACCAGTACATCACATACACCACTACCCGAAGATATACCAATCATCACCGCCGCCAGCGCCACCAGCACTATCACCAGCACTACCACCAGCACTGCCGCCATCGATCCCGCCGGGAGGATATCGACCGGGAGAGGGCCCTCCAGGATATTATCAATCACCCCCAGCAGTTCAGTATCATCACCACGATCAAGCGGGCTACAAACATCGACCAGGCTGCGTGGGTTGTAATTCGCGGCCAAAGTGACGTGCGATGACTGAAATACGGGATAGCTAGGCTGGTTATAGTACACGCGGTAGTCAAGGAATATTGAATTCAGGTCAGCCTAGCATAACGCCGATAATGACGAATGTATCGCCCAAGGCACCGTTAGCCACCCAATAACCCTGCGAACTTGGAGTCTCGGTTATGAGTTCTAATCAGCTTTCATCACTGATCAATTGCTAGCTAAGATGATGTTTTAGAAGATTTAGATGTGAGCTAGTCGTGTAATACTTACATGGGAACTGAGGCTTGAAGCTTATCTCTATTCCCTACCTTAGCTTTCTAAAAAACGCCATTCTTCTTAGAGCGATGATGAACTTTTCTCATCTTCATGACCAGGGTGAAAGCAAAACCGCTAAGAACAGAGTGTTCCTGATATGCTAGAATATTCTCATTACCCAGCAAAGGTTCAGTTTTCAACAGCGAGTACAAGTTGAGATAAAATCCGTTTTGTTCCAAAATAATTTAGGCATTTACGCAAGAGAAGAATGGGTTTTGGTAATCAGAGTTCAGCTTAGCCTTATAATGAATATTACAGGACCAGTTTCCCCTGTTAATTAGGAAGATCTATCCCATTTAAACAAAAGAACCTCCATTAGCCCCGATGACCTGCCCAGACACCCAGGAACTAGTTGGACCAGCAAGAAAAGCAGCTAAACCAGCAATTTCCTCTGGTTTCCCTAGGCGTCCAAGAGGACTGAAACCGGCGATAGTATCGATGAGTTCCTGCGATTTGCCCTGGAAGAACATTTCTGTGGCTGTCGGACCGGGGGCGATAGCATTGACAGTGATACCCTTGGGTCCCAAGTCTTTAGCAAGAATACGTGTCATCTGCTCAATGGAGCCTTTGGAGGACGCGTAGAGAAGGTAGCGAGGTGCTACTTGTGATTGGTGAAGAACACCGCTTGATACGAGGATGACTCGGCCGTCTCGCGGCATATGCTTAACTGCTTTCTGATGGTTGTCAGAGGGCCTGTGCCCGAACTCATTAGACACGAAGACTCACTTGAACAAGAAAGTAAGGTCCCTTCACGTTAAGATTAAAAGCCTTATCGAAGCCTTCCTCTGTTGTACTCTCGAGATCATTCATGGGAGCGCATGCAGCATTTGCCATTACGCAATCGATCTTGCCGAACTTCTCAACTGTCGCTTGCACCAGCTTCTCGATCTCAGCGATCTTCGAGACATCAGCTTTGAAAGCAAGGGCCCTGTCGGAGCCTATCTTAATGACAAGATCTTCCGCAGGCTTGCTGTCGCTGGAGTAGTTGATTACAACACTCGCACCGTCGGCGACAACACGCTCGGCGACTGCTTTTCCAATTCCTTTGGAACCGCCTGTGACGAGGACGACCTTTCCGTTAAGTGACATGATGTCGAGAAGTAAGATTTAAGTGCAGTTGATGAAAAGGAGTGATGAAACGATAAGCCGTATAAAACTTGGAGACGTAGGACGAGCGTTCAGATATATAGCAAGATGCATACACCAAGCCCCTCATCCTTGCGGACCTGCCTTTCCATAACGATCCCGTGGCGTATCTAAGACCGGTTGTCCATCAGAAAACATTAAATATCGGTGCAGAGATGCCGGAGATACGAGATCTCAACCATTTGCTGGTAGCCCTCGTCGCAAATGTTAACTAAAACCCGACCGTCGCTCTTCTGTCAATGGATTGACGACCTGGAGGTAACGGCTCGACCCGCCTTGAGTAAGCACTAGCGCATGCAGGAACATTTAGTGTATATACTCAATGAGGAATAGCGCTCATAAATGAGGAAGCCTTATGGATGGTGATGACGCTTACATCTCTGGAAGAAAACACAGGCTTCGTGGAGTGACTCCGAAACTGCCAGGGTTGAACTAAGACCATGCTTGGGTTTGCTTTCGTCTTTGGCCGAACCCCTTGAGTGAGAATCCCCAAATGCTCTTGGTGGAGAAGCTGCTAATAGTCTTCTTGATTTATCCACATATAGTCCCCAGCATTGTTGACCATGCTGTCCTGCCCCAATTCCATGATGTCTCATCCGCGACTTCTTGGACATCGCGCCACGCCGTGTCTGCTGCAATATCGCAGGCGACAGAAGACCACAGCATGAGCTCAAGTGATTCTTTCTTTACCAGATCCCAATCCCTCGCGTCTCCAGTGACTCCGCGCTTCCGCTCCACCATACTGAGGAATCCAACAAACCACTCTCTGCGCCTGGACCCAACCTGTTCGGTACAGAGGAGTCCCAACATGCCAAGCCATGTCAGCAGGTCAGATAATCCTAGATGAGTCGCTCGCTCCTTATACAGGATGAGCTGTGCCTGTAACCTCTGTGCAGCATGATGGTAAGGAGGCGCGTAGGAGATAGGGCACGTAACGCCCAATGAGAATATCAGCAGAGCTGTCTGAATGATTTCGTTGATCCACTGGTCTGCGGTGGTTTCTGTTGACCCGGACGCGTCCATTTGCATGGGCTTCTTGCCATCATACCCGTCCGGGAGAGTTGCGAGAAGGCGCTGTTGGATCAGATCTCTATGAGCAGCTAGAAGCGAAAGATCAGGGTTTGTCAACGCGCTGTGATGGTATGCCTCTATGACCTTGACCCATACTCGCATGTCACAGATTACTTCTCGCACATCTTCTGCTAAGCCGAGCACACTAAGACTGTCAATTATAACTGACGATTCCTCAAATGGAGAATGCTCGACAAAGTCAGAAGCGTAACCGAAGAACTTGGCCCTATCATGGGTCTCCTTGACACGACCGTAAAGCTGAGACACCGGAAGGTGAGGTTTGACAAGCTTTTGGGTGGCGCGTACAAGATCCATGTAGTTAAAGGAAGCTTGGAAGCCAGCGTACTTGACATTGTGAATGCCCCCTTTCAGATCCACCAGATTCATCAAGGCCTTGGCGTGCGAATCAATGAGAAGTCTGCTGCCAAAGACGTGGATCCAAGATAGCTCCGCTAACGGCGGATCAAAAGCCTTTTTGATGATGCCGTTTCCATCATCTGGCGACATCTCGGGACCACAGAGACTAAGGATGGCATAAAGAGTCTGCTCAGGTATTTCTGAGACAGGTTTCGTGATGTCTTTCGAGATATGCGCAATGGCTTGATTGTAGTGTAGTAAACTTTGCTTATCGGTAACCCGCGAGTTTCTCTTGAATGCAAGGTTCACTGCAGCTTGCCACAGACAAGCATGTACCAATGCTGGACCTTGAGCAACAAGCGTATTGTAGTCGAGCGCGAACGGTGGAATATGAAATGCGGCTGACCCGATCTCGAATCCTGGCCAAAAAGATTGCGTGCAGTAGTGAAGCAGCATCTTGGTGTGCGGGTCCCCCATCCTGTCGGGGATAACGCAAATACTGAGTTGTCCAGAGGTAAGCAGAAGCTGTCTGTCATTTCTTATGGTGCTCCTCTCCGCCATCGTCATACCCTTATTGGTCCTGCGTAATTCGGTGGATTCTTGCTCTGATGGTAGTTCCTTGCTGGCTCTTTTACGACGATGCATGGATTTGGCGAGATGTGACCTGGCACTTGATTGTCGGAGCTCAACCTCACGGCGGCTGTTGGGCTCTGCTGTTATCGCAGGTAAGAAATGAAAGGCGATTTCTTTCCTAGCGTTCGAGTCGGCGATTCCATTCATCTTGTTCCATCTGAATCGAATAATAGTCCTAGTTTCATGGGCGTCTCTTGGTTCATTTGCATTGCTTACATTAAGACGGGACTGTGATGAGGGGATCGTCATCGATGGAACCTGGATGAGGTTTCGGCTGACTAAGAAGGCACTTAAGTACAAGGTACGACTCCTTTCTGACACTGGAACCCGTGAAGAGAAGTACAGGTTACTTTCATCAGCTCGGACTCAACGGATTCCGTTTCCACAATGCTCGATTCTCGCGCACTATTGGGAGACCAAGTCACCTCAGACTCCAAAACAGTTCCGTATATCTAGCCGCTCTAACACTGCCGTCTATGGCTTATGCTGTATTTATAGTCAAAGAAAGAACATCACGTTTGGGAGATGCGGGCATTGGAGAATACTATGTGAGTTGAGAGTTCGCGGTAAAGTCTGCTACAATACAAAACGTCTTTCCTATCCTAGACGATCAAAACTCCGAAAGCAAAACAAGTACATATAGCTGGCACTCTGCCGCTTACACGTCCAAAATTCGCCCGTCCATGCCCACCCAATTGTCCTCAGTCAAGGGCCGAAAGTTCAACAATCAGCCACTTTCTGAATCCTAATACGCAGGATGATAGAAACAAAAGCTGGAGTCGCATTCACTCACATCAACGACTCGCTCTTTCACCATTTTGGCCTCACTGCGGTCCGACGGGAGACCAGTCAATGGATTGAGGTTGTCAAGAAAGAAGGGTCCAATGACACTCAGCGGGAAAAGCCAAAATCCAATTGCAGGGGGCGGTCCCTGGTTGTACTCTCGGTACTCCCGCTGTGAATTGTTGTAGGCGAGCCTATACTCATGCGGATCGCCGTTGGTGGGAATAAACTCCGGCTCATAGTTGTAGGTGAGCATGAAAAGCTCATTAGTCAAATTGGACTTGTAAACATCTTCCGGGATCTTCAGCTCCTCCATGAGAAGGCAGAACGAGTAATACCCTCGACGTGGGTCCTCCTTGCCGATGTGGGCAGCCTTCAGTTCGTTTTCGTATAAACCGGATTCATAGTTAAAAACACCTCGATCATAGCTCTCGGTGTCGATACGTTTGTCGACAAAGCGAGACGAGGAGTTGACGACCCGCAGGTCACTTCCGTACATTAAAAGCTCAGGCTTGGCCACGCGCCCAACAAATGTAAGAACCTCGATTCTTCGGATGGCATCCGTGAAAAGAGTGTGCTCGTTCTCATCCAGGGAAAATAGTTCATCGATGTGGCGGAATTCGCAGTCGAGGGCCAAGTTGACCAGGCCGATATCATGCTTGTCTGCGGTAAAAATAGCGTCCGAGAACTTCTCGAAGTGCTGGAGGGAGCAGCAGTGAGTCTCCACCTGAATGGTGTCTAATTCGGGGCAAAGAAATAGGGTTCCATCGACGCTGCCGTCGGGGCCCATTCGACGGCAAGGCATTTGAACACGGTAAAACGTCTTGGCGACGTTGCGCGACTCCGATGTTGTGTTTAGAAGCGCGTGGTACGTCGCACTCTTCTTGACGAAGATCTCGTATTGCTTTTCGTCATCGTCATCGACAAGGAAGACCTTGCGGTGTCGGCAGTTCCAGATTGAGAACTCCCAGTTGTTGTCATCGGCAAGGAGGACCTTGATGTGTCGATAGTTCAAAAGTGAGGACTCCCAGATTTTATGACGGAGGTCATAAGGCAGTTTGTTGAACACGTGGAACTCGGAAGTGGAAGGCTCGTGAGGCATGAGGATGCAGTCATCCAGCTGCTGCTTAGTGTAGGGAACCAGAGCCATCTTTGTTGGTGCTGGTGCTCGAAGGGAACCAAGAATTTTGCGCAAATAGTGACCATTGAGATGTTTTGTATTGTATGTAAGGTCGGGAAGAGTAGTGAGAAAGTTATGTGAGGATAGAGAAAGGGTTGGGTAAGGAAAAAGGTTTGTGTTTGAAGGAAGAGAAGTTTGAAAGGGAGTAAAGTTGGTGGAGATGGGGATTTAACATAAGCACGGGATAACAGACACTCGCGCGTTATGTTTTGGCAATGGCACGGTCTCAGGCTAGTGTAAACAGAAGAGTTCCGCGCGTCAGAACTTCAGTCTCCTGCTGCGAGTTACAGTGTTGGCGCAACTCTGCCAGTGTGAGAGCATCACGAAAAGCGGGACCACGTGTGAAAGGCAGAGGCCGTTTGCCTCCAAGTGACAGTGGGAACCTATTGTTTAGTTCTTGGGTCACGTAGAGCTAAGATCTACTGGAACACGAATCACGATGTCATACGTATTGTTCGCGTTCAGTTGCCTCTCACACTGTCAGAAGTCAAGTTGGACGCCGAACAACGTACTCAAAGCGAGTGCGCTCCCCTGATATCAAGACACGAACATTGGATGAAATTTTGATACGTTGATGGGATGAAACTCGTCCGTTTGGTGCCACTCTACAAATATCCTCTATGGTCTCGTGTATGAGATTTGGACTTTTCCTGAATGCGTCACAAGCTCACCTTCAGTCACAAACAAAGCCTGAGGATGACTCACCTAGAGAACGGTTTAGGATAACGAAGCATAAATTCGACACTGCCAATGTAGAAACTTCTGCCAGTACCAATCAGGCCAAGCTTCAGCCTTCTCGTGAACCCAATCACGTACAAGAGCTTGTCATAAGATACGTGCTGATAATTGGTTGATCTACCCCCAGCAACGACCTGGTTCTGCGGAAAGCCAATGTAGCTGGCTGATCAGATAAGAATCATTCATGGAGTGACTACTTTTTATAATAATAAACAACGAGTGACAGAACCCGATCAAGCCTGGCCGATAGTTGGTTGTCTCCGTCCCACTACTTGCAAGTCGTCCTGAGTCAATTTCTCCAACTGAGGTACGACAAACTGACCATGAAGTGGATAGTTGAATAGACCTTCTGGCAAGAGATCCCAATCAATTCCAAAGTCAAATGAGGGAGTCTCCGAGATTTGGTTAGGAAGCCACGAGGTCGAGGGGCTATTATCTGCGAGCGGATTTGGAACCAGGGGTGACAACACCTCTCGACCCTGAGCACCCTGAGCACCCTGAGCATCCTTGTCTGCTAGAGGCGTCGAGATCTCAGCTGTCAGAGCAGTTCTTCCACCAACCTCCCCTGCCGATTGTTCATAGAGGGCTATAAGCCGAGGTTGGAGATTGAGAACGATATCTTGAACCCTTGGACGTATTCTCTCTTCTACATCTTGGAACTCAGATTGAAACAGAACTTCGAGCTCTCGTCGAACGAATCGAGGAAACTCTCGGCGAGCAAAGGTAGCAAATGCGGCAGGCGTGTGGGAGTCAGATGGGCCTGTATTCACCATGGCGCTCATTTCTTCATGGTCTCGCAGTGTTTGTAAGTAAAAGGCACCAAAACTCCATGAGTGAGACACCTTCAACTTACAAGGATCAGGTATTGTCGCAGGATCATCATCTGGAAAGAGGATCTGGTACATCTCCCTCCACTTCCCAGCATCCGTCATTTTCATTTCCGACTTCTTTCTGCTTTTAAGCTGCTTCTCTTGCGTTTTAGTGAAGCCATCCAAATTGGTCTCGTTCGTTTTCTTGTGACATGGTGGATCAGTCTGGAGATGTACATCCCGCAGTTGCTCCGTCTTAAAGTCTTGCCAACAGCGAGGACATTGCGGTGGTAGCGCATGTCGTCTGTACAGGTGGCCTCTTGTAGTTTCACCCAAATTAGCCTGCAGCTCTGAGACTCAATTGGGGATTAAGCAATGGGACTTACTTGACTCTATGAATCTCAATCCATCCAGGCCCAACGCAAGTCGCTTCCCGACAATACTTGCCTGGGTCCCTCTTGAAATACGGACACGCAAATCTCAGTGGTTCATTCGCGTTTCGTCTTTGTGCAAGCTTCGCTTTTCGGACTCCCTCTTCACCATCTTCATCGTCACCGTCACTCGGGTCTGTTCGTCTTCTCTTCGGGGGATGCGAATGATTATCTCCTTTTCCACGGCTTGGCTGAGTATGGTCACATGAGTCTGCATTTCTGCTTGAAGAACCCGAAGTCTCTGCTTGGTTCGATGTCATACCTCGAACATAGACCAACCTGGAGTCTAGCCACTTGCAAAGACTTCTCATCACTGCGTTGATAACTGATTGCTTTTTGTCCTCGATCCACGTATCGTACACATCCTCCTCGTCCCAATCCGAGATAGTGGTTTCTTCTGTCATACCCGCAGAGCTGCTAGACTCTTCGCAGTCCAGGATATCCCCGGATTCTTGTCCCTCCAAAGGCTTCAGCTGAGGCGTAACAGGCTGGTAGCTATCGGGACTTTCTTGCTTGACGACTACTTCTTCCTCGGTCTTTATTTGGAGCCCAAGTTTCAGCGCACTCGGTGGAATGGTGATATCTTGGCCACGCGCTTGCTTTTTCTCTTTCAATTCCTTTGGAAATTTCTCTTGAGTATCTTGTGGAGACGTTCCTGATTGTGTCTGGCTTTTCCTGAACATTCCGCTGGATGCTGCAGCGGCGGCGGAATTCTGGGAAACTTGTTCAGAAGCTATATCCGAACCAGCGGCAGGGAGCCCAGCCATACTGCCTACCGAGGGCCGTGCGAGATTTTGGTAATGACCTGGAGATCTCCCGCGTACAACTAGTCCTACAGAGCGTCTCTCGGCGACCTTCACAAAACGGTCGGCATCATGTTCTCCTACATCCGCCAAAAGGGAAACGACCAGTTGGTGATATTGCTGTTGGGCCCGACGCTTGCCGTTGTTCATCGTTGCCTGTTTGAACTGAACTCGCTCAAAAGTGTGCTCAGCGGCAATCAATTGTTGTCTCTTGCTTTGTGTTGATGTCTTTGCTGAGAGTTTGACAGCAACTGGCTTCATAATTGGGCCTTTGTCTCGCTTTGGTGTGTGCTGAACAAGCTCAATATTATGACCAATATCGCCAGCAACAACTGCGGTAATGGTCATTGCGAATCCGTGGACTCGGAGCGGCTTCGGGGAGCCCGGAAGGGCCAATTGAATATGTGATTCAGGCTCTGGTGGGAAGAGGCTATAGGAGCATATTACACTGAAGTAATTGCGCCTATAACATGTCCATTGCCCATCCGACTGGAAGAATCCCTTATCAATTATGGCATTGATACTAGGATCAATGCGGTGGCGTTGTCCATTGTTGTTGAGTCCCTCCAAGGTGCCTATTCTCTTGAGCCGTTCCAGTGGAGGCGTGGTTGCGTTCGGTGTCTCGATCGAGACCCAATGCGGGCTTATATTTGGCGACACAGAGCGGCCGTGGTGGCTTTTCCGTCTCGAGACGGGCGATGGTGACAGTTCAAAGCCCGGTAGACGGAGGGGACTTGGCCTGGGGGGTATATGGTCCCGGCGAGGGAGTCTTTGATTGACATGATTGCTATCATGTCTCCCACGACTGAGAATCTCGCAAGACATTTGAATGGCTTGGCTCTATACCATTAATAGTTGAGCGATGGAGCTGGTTACACGGGGATGTTGAATATAAAGTGGAAGGCTTTGTGCGACCTAGGCAACCATTTTAATACCTCGAAGCCCTGTATATCCTGGGTGGTTACATTGCAGCTGAGTTTTGCCCAACTGCGCAAAACTTGGGTATGCATGTCAGCCGCAGACAACGATTGAGCCAATCATTCCGCCAAATGAGGCATCAGGAGAATTGAAGGTGTGAGACATCGGGGCAATTCATGATTGGATAATTCGTCGGCGTGGCGTCTTGGGGAGCCGAAAGGCCGTGATAATGCGATATCCAGATCACGACAACATTAGCCATCTGTTGACAATTATTAAGGAAACTACACAACTTTCAAGTCGGCTTTTAGGAATATTGATTAGTGTATGGAAACCATTACAGATATCAAAACACAGTTCTATCCAAAAACTAATAATTAAATCTCTCCCCTTTGGACGGGTTCCTGACTAATCCAGCCCCCGCAAACCCGAGTCTGACAACACCATCGCTCATCTCCCATGCACCATATCTCACAGGCCCAATATCATTAACCGCGTTCACTATTCCTCCTACGTTCTGATTCGGATCCACGTTTTTCATAATATGCGATTCCTGACCAACCGTTCCAAACGCATTCGCGATCTCAAGCGGATTAAGGCTAACGTCTCGACCGAGCTCCCACCAGCCCCAGAAAGTAGGGAGCACAGCGAAAATACCAACCAGCGAGACTGCAATTGCTATCCACATCTTCTCGTAATTCGTCACGTATACAAGCGTCGTCGTGCCACTGTCGTATTCGACTTTCTGCTTGTCTGTCGTGTTGTACTTAGCGTATTGGAGACTTGCTCGAAAGCCAATGTCGCGGGTGAGTTCGATGATGTCTTCCATTGGGTTGTCCCACCGGTCTCCGCATCCCGGGGTTGTCCCGTTCATGGTAAGGTACTGGGTTGCTGGTAAACCTGTCGAACTGACATCATAGCCAGTAGCACCGGTAAAGCGCATAGAAGCTTCCGACTCGTAGAGCGATTTTGCAATCATGCTGAAGCCTCCAAGAATATTTCCTGATCCGGACATAACCATATCAGCAGGCAACATGTATCTTCGCTCTGGTTAGCAAACAGCTCAAGTAGATGCTTGGAGTAGTACATACTTTCGTTCGATGAACTTGTCGTCCTTCCATGTTCCTTGAAGCTCAACTGTCTTACTATCCATTCGCACTGGAAACTTCGCAATCCCAGCATGAAGGTCGCAAGTCTGGATCTTAACCTTTCCGCTGCACTTGTCCGTGTCCTTGTAGAGTGTCGTGTATCGAAGGAATGACCCATTGGCTAGGTCGTTGACGCCCCAGTCACTGTACTCCGTAACATTAACCTGGAAGAAATATGCTCCGTCCATGGCTCTCAGCATGCTTGCCCTATCCGTGCCAATTGTGAGATTGAAGTCCCTTGTCGTCTCAGTGCAATTGACCTCGAAGCCAAAACCTTCCACTGCAGTTGTGCAGTTAGTGCAGGAAGTATCGAAAACAGCCATGTCAGATCGGCGACTATAGTTTTGGGCGACATCACTAAAGTTCTTGGTGAGTAGCGAAGTGGAATGAGTGCGGCCAGTCATTATGCACGCATAGTTTTCGGGAAGTTCTCTCGCGATGTGAAAGTTCATGATGCCTTGTTGAGCCTGGTAGTGGTTTGTTGTTGATGAGGCGCGCTGCATGAGGGGACCGCGCAGGACAGATAATGTCATGAGAATGGATGCTATCATAATCAATACCCCAACCACCATTACATAATTATATGTCAATCATACCCAGGCCTAGTGTCTTCGACTTCCAAGTGAACAAGTTCAAGACTGCTTGTATGATGCCAGTTGAGGAGCCATAGACAGCTTGTAATTGTTGCAACTGACCTATATCAGTCATGAACTCCTCGGTAGTATAGGTCTACTTACAGTTACCGGCTTGCCAGCGGCTCTCCAATACGAAATGGCCGCTCCCTCTGTAAAAGCACAAGCAAGAAAAGCTCCCGACAACGCAGATGTCAAAGCTAGCCATACCGTGGGTTGTATCCGCTCATCCCAATGATCAACAGGCACTCCATCACTATAAACGAGGATCATAACAGCTGCAATAGTCCCCAGCAACGCCAAGAGCCACATGCCAAGGCCGCGATAGGGGAACCGAATCCAGAAGCCGGGAAGCCAAGGTTGACTGAGTCTGGCGTATTGTTCCGCAAATGGTGTCGGGAGATTCTCGAGACGATGCCATGGCGCTTTATCCCGGTCGCGGTCGCTATTGCTTATGAACTCATCCTTCAATGGCCAAGGTGAGGCCATGTTCTGGGTATCCAGCATTATGGGGGAATTAGTATTAGGCTTGGCGGTAAAACTACCGCATTGATGACCAAGAAAAGAACGGGTCGAAGGAGCGTGAGATGACAATTAGTGTTTAAAAAGTGCGACAGTAAAAGACAAACCAATGCCTCAAGAAGTAAACACCTTCAGAGTCAGAGGCTGAAAGGTAGTCAAATGAAAGAAAAGAAATCTTCCGTTTCATGATCCAAAAGGAGTAAAAGCAAACAACCCTGGAACTAAACGTTGCATGAAACAACCAGGGTATGGATCTTCAATTGCCAAATCAGAAGTGTCATTTTCATCTGTTTTGGCCATGAAAACTGGAGATCTCAATCTTCAATACGAGAATTAGCCTTCTCCATGACTTCATTTGCCCCGCTGCTGTGGAATTTCGACTCGTGTTTCCGGCAGTTGTTCCCACTATGATTGTGATCGCCACATTTTATGAACGAGCTAGCATAACCTGCATAATTACGTCGTAGCACTATTTCACCGCCAATTCTTCCGCGCTCTGAAGTCGTTTAATTGGGAATGTTCACACGTGATGAGGAACATTGGATGTTAACTATGCTTGTCTATTGGTAATTGTTGTTGTATGTCTTTGTGAGCTTACTCATCTTGCCATTCTTGATCGACATGACCCAGAAGCAAGAAGCTCGACTATCTTGGGCTTGTGAAAGGGGCGTTGTCCAGATGTCACTGACAGTCTTGATGATGAGTGCACCAGTCTGGCTCAGAGTTGAGATCCAGTCTCTTCTTTATGCTCCATCCTGTGTCTCATAAAGTAAATGGAGAATAAGAATGCCTGATGTGCTCTTGGAATAATTCAGACCACACGTATTTAAAGTTTACTCCAGTTTGAGATTCTAAAGCTGTATTGTTGTGCCATGAGAAATGCAAGCCAAGCAGAGCTAACAACTTATTTCTGCTTATAAGCCATCATTGTATGCATTAATAATTTTTCAATATAGCCAGACCTGGCAGCAGGCTTCTTCATTGAACCATTTCGTAAAGTTTGCTTGCGACGGCGACCTACCCGAGACCAAATGTATGGTGCCATTACTGAGCTTTCATTGGCAGGATCATGGGACGCCCCACAATTTACCGCTAAGTGAAGTCGATGGTGCCGTCCAGGTTAGAGCAGGGATAGTTCAGAGAGCCCTGAAAAGGTCATCGCTACTGGGTTTGATTTCGAAAATTTGCCAAAGATTGTACAACAGAGCATCATCTCTGAGCAGGGCCGTTGTCACAGTTGGTTCCTTCCTGACCCTCAATGTTCAAGAAGTCTGATGTAATTACCTCTCCCTCTCCGATAAGCGAAACCCTTTCTCACCCAATCACAGCCCCACGATAAGCCAAACTAAAGCCAAGATCGCCAAGTCGCCCAGAAGCTTAACCAAGAAACTGGGCGCAATCAGCAAAACTCCAATTGGTCAAGGTTGTTGCGTGCAATTAAGCCTCGTTTCTGGGCACCGTCATCCACAGAGCGAAAATCAGGGCAGGTGAGGACTTGGCTGCACAGTGATGCGAAACTGCATGTGAAACGGGAGCTGCCCGTGAAATTAAAGTTGCGTTTAGGGTTGAGTTGTTCAACGCTTGGGACTTGGCGTGGCTCGACGCTGACGTACTCTGTTCTTGGGCGTTATCTTGGTGTTTTCTGTTCAACCCTCTAAATTTCTTGAAACCCCCTTCTGAAGATGATGTGAAGCTCTCCTTGTTCCACTGTTCAGATCTCATCCTGCTCAACCCATCTCTACTCAACCCCTGCAATGGCAGAGCCCAACCCTCACCGAAAATCCATCGTAGCCGACCATCCAATTCGCACTTCCAACAACATCCAGTACCTAACCGACGACGAGATCTCCGAATTCCTCGACGATCTCGACCACAACAAAGATGGCTTCATAAACTATAACGAAGTCGAGCGAAAGCTCGACCAAGAGCACGCTGAGCTAGTCCCCAAACCGAGCGCCCACCACGTCATACAGCGGGACAATACCGAAGATGACCGTGCGCGCCATCAATTCCTGCGCAGTATGATGGGCTCCGACGCGGAGAAGATCCCGAGGGATGAGTTTGCGAAGATGGTCAAGGAGTGGAAGATCCCGTCGCTGAAGCAGGCGAAGAAGGAGGAGGATGAGGACAAGAGCTATATTAAGCGCTTGCCGGGTTGGAGACGGATTCGTTCGTATTGGGCTGTTCATGGGCCAGAGATTGTGTTTCTGGGGGTTGTTGTCGGTATGCAGTGCGCTTTTGGCATCTGGCAATTGGTCAAGTATCAGACCACGCCTGGATATCGTGAAGCCTTCGGTTGGGGTGTCGTCATGGCCAAGACTTGCGCTGGTGCGCTATATCCGACTTTCTTCTTTCTGATTCTCAGCATGTCGCGATACTTTTCGACATGGTTACGCAGGTCGTATCACATCTCACGATTCTTCAACTGGGACTTGTCGCAGGAGTTTCACATTCGAATTTCTTGT